GGCAGAGCTCAGAGCTCTCATGTGCCACTTCAAAAACAACGGCAGGCCACCGCCCTGTCGGCCCAGATCCTGGCAGAGCCGCAGCCAAACAGCTGGAGCTGATGTGTAAACAGTAGGCTGCGGGTGTGTGGCGAGGGTCGGTATCTGACACATGATGGAAGGTTGTTAGATCTCTGTACGACACATTTCACTGCTTTGAAATAGAAGCTGTTTTTTATATAGGGCTTATTAATAATTGACTAATCAGTCACCAAGAAAATGCATTACTTGTTTTGTATCATGAACTATCTACAACACAAAGACATTTATTCACTTGAAGACTAAGAAATCGGCAAATGTTTCCTTTTGAGAAACTGGTGTTGTTTTCACAAATGACTTAATTCATCCTGATTTCAGGGCTTTGTGAATAAGCTTTTATGTTAAGCTAATCTTAGTATATTGTTGCTTTTTAAATGACAAAGAATGCATCATTAAAAACTAATTAAATACATTATCATTGTTAAATATAAAACATAGAGGAGCAATTAGGCACAATGAGGGGCACAGCTAAGAGACTTTGGTTGCATTTGGTTGCTATGATACAGAATATCCTCAGAAATAAAAATGCCAGCAAAGAGAAGAAAGAAATATACTTTTTCTAGGATATATCCTGATTTCCTTTAAGTCTTTTTTTCCCTAGTGTATTTTTTTTAGCATCTTAGTTATTTTATTTACTTTACTCCTCTTTATTATTTATTGCGATAACCCTATGTATGTATATATGTATGTATGTACATTTGTAAGAATGTATATACTGTCATATCATAGTTTGTTTTGCTTGTTTTTGTTATTTTAGATGTTGGGGTCGTGGGGTGGGAGGGAGGTACAGTAGCTATTTTAAGAATCTTTTTTCTTTTGTTTGTATAAGAAGTAGCCCAGCTACTGTAAGGGACTATAATTTTGACAAATAAAGAGTATATTTAAAAAAAGAAGGCTGGAAAAGGGTAGAGTACTGACTTGCTCTGGGTGAAGGGGAGGCTAAAGCTTATAGAGAGAGATGGACAGACCTGCAGCTCTGTGTGGGTTCACTGTTAATTTCTTCTTCATTGTTTTTCAGTGTTCACTGACGTGACGATTGGTCTTTGTGGTATTTGTCCCACCACTCTGCGCTGTGATTGGATGGCTGGGTAAAAAGTGACAGTGATGAGCAGCTGTAGCGTTTTACTCAAAGTTGACTTTTTTTCTTTCAACTCTCAGCGACCAGAAAAACATGGCTCACGTGCACCCCGTGTCAGCGTGGGTACTCCAGCTTCCTCCCACAGTCCAAAGACATGCAGGTTCATTGGTAACTCTAAAAAGGCTGTAGGTATGAATGTGAGTGTGAATGGTTTTCTGTCTCTATGTGTCAGCCCTGTGATAGTCTGGTGACCTGTCCAGGGTGTACCCTGCCTCTCACCCAGTGTCAGCTGGGATAGACTCCAGCTCCCCCCCCTTCACAGGGTAAGCGTTTACGGAAAATGACTGAATCAATGATAATAATAATAATAATAATGGGGTTTTGTTTTGCTATTCCTGTATTTTGGGTCATTCATTTTGTCTTTCTGTGTTCTTATAGGCTAGAAAAAGAAAAACAACATGAATGCAAATAATTCTTTTGACAACATCACTTTAGGCGAAAAAAGTCTCTACGGTCAAGCTAACGTCCGTATAAAGTGCATCTTAAGTTTTTTAAAAATGTTCAAGCATGAATCTCAGGTAATGTGCATTTTATTTTAATAATCATTTACGTCATTGCATAAGTCAGGTTTTTTAAAGTGAGGATTTGTTGTTTGTCTCTGTTTTATATTGTCGTAAATTTGTTTTTGGGCTGTTGGACATGCAAAGCAAGCAGTTTGCTGGTGTCACTGTGGGCTCTGGGGTTGAGGGAGATACCCCCCCAAAAATCCTAGCTCGGGTATTTAGTACCAGAAGCCGTTCAAACTCTCATTTTACCACTTGTGCACTGAGTCTCACCGGAGCTTTATCATGCAGCTAAGCGGTGGTTTAAATTGGATTTGTCTGACGTGAGGAGGTCAGCAGGTAGTGACTCAGAGGCTTTCAGCTTTTCCCTTTTAATAACATGATGGATATCTCTGCAGCAGAGACATGAGCTTATCCAGCTTCATCTATAAACCTGCCACATCTGAGAACCTGTGGCTGCTCTTTATCTGTCTTTGTGTGTGTGTGTGTGTGTGTATGTGTGTGCGTGTGTTTGGTAGATGAAAAGCTGAGTCATGATGTGGCAGCAGGTGTCTTTTGGTGTACATCCTCATATTTTTACACACCCCTCCTCTCTTTTTTTCCTTCAGTTCCTCCCTCAAACCCCCCCTCTGTCTTCGTCACGTCTCTTAGTGAGTGTCGTCATAGCAACAGTCCCCAGTGCCCCATCCCTCGCTCCACCGCTGTCCCAATGGCATTAGCTGTTATCAGCTGCCTAGTCTGGCGTGAAGTGAATTAAGTGGAATCATCCAGGCCTAACCCCCGTGGCAGATGAGCTTGAGTCTAAACACGCTAGGAGACTTCGGTCACGGCTGGTTTATGGGTTTTCCCCTGACTGGAAGCTGATGGGGGGTTTGTTTATTTGGGGCCAATTGAGCGTACTTTTCTTCTTCCTGTCCATCTTCGGCTCAACATGTCTTTGCTGTCGACTGTCTCCTTTTGTCTCTTGTCTAGCCATGGCTGTTTTCATCTCTCTCAGATATTATTGTAATTGAATAAGGATCAAAATATTCTCTTACCCCTAGTGTTTCATGTCACTCAAGAGAACAAGTAAAATTGAAAAGCAAATACAGGTGAGGATGAAGAAGGGGGGGAATGTGTGTCTCTAATCACAGCTAATGGAGGTTAAGATTTTTATCTCATACACATCAACTTTGGGTAAATTAAACAACCCCCTCTTTCATCTCCACATTTACATTACGCTCCGTTCTTTTTTATTGTCAGAAGTAGGACAACAATTAACAGTTATTTTCAGCACAATTATTTGTTGTTTAGTTAATTATCTAGTTCGTAAAATGCCCATCACAGTCTAATGTAACATCCTTAAACTGCCTGTATTGTTAAACTAAAGGCAAAAGCAATATGGCTGCACCCGACTCAGAATTATGTCAGTAGAATCTGATTAGGCCATTCATTACAATATACAACTTTTCGTTCCTTTTTGTCCCATATACAGTTTGAACGAGGTTCAGAGGGACGTTCAGGGTGACAGTGACTTTTATGTAATAAAGTAAACAACAAGCTAACTGCGCTAACGACAGAACAGAACTTTTTGTTTCGAAGGCAGCTGCCTGTGTCTCAGTCAGACTCACTGTGGGTCTGGGTCTACAGCTGCCTGTGGATCAAAGTAGAGTAAAAGCCAGGAGCGCTCACTTTGCAGCACAACTGCACAATGACAAAAACGACTGCTTGACTTGAAGAATCTGAGTCGACTGAGGAGGGTCAGACTGATCATTCAAATTTTTAATTTTCAGGGGGTAGCCCTAAAGAAAACGATACTCAATTCAAGATATAAAACATAACAGCAGCTATTCTTCAAACTGGATACGTTATGACAAGTAAATTATCGAAATTGTTGTTAAATAACTTTCTGTAGACTTAAGTGCGAGTTGATCCAGAGCAAGAAGATGACAGGATTCATGCCTCACTCATGAGGTCTCATCTGTAAAGATTTCAGCAGTCGTTTTGTTCATCATTTTGTTAGTTAGTTTGCATATTATTCATTCTCAGTGAAAAATATGCACCACTGATTAAGAAGACTGCAGAGTATTATAGTGAAGGCATCCTGCCTCTCCTCTGCTGTTATGTCAAAAGATTTTGTTTTTACATTTATGGAATATAATAGACAAAACGTAAGGGAAAACAAGCAGCCATGCTAAACTACATCTCACAGTAAAGGTCGCTGAGGTGACTGTTTAAAGCTGGTGTGGATGTTTTTTGCATCACTGGGCAAAAAAACCCGGAGACTTTGGCCAGTAACAGGTCACAACTGAGAGAGAGAGCGGAACGCTGGCTTTCTGCAAATGTAGATGTGCGTGCATGTCCCTTCAGATGATGAAAACCTGAATCAGTGACGGAAAATCCTGCAGAAGAAGTTGCGACTCCAGCATTGGCAACAACTGCCTACTCTGTAAAGCAGCTCCCAAAAAAGGAAGACGGACTTATCAAAAAGAGAGCTTGAAGAGAAATAAATTCTGTGTTGATAATGGCAAAATGCTGCTAACATTTTAGCCTTTTGCTAACTTTAGCGAAAGGCTCACATCTGTGGCTTATTCAAGTTCATGTTCATGGAGCTAACGTTAGGTAGAGCCTCAAATCACAGTACGTTATCTCAAAGGGCTTTACACGCCGTCATATTTGCAAAGGAATCAACATGGTAATTTTTGTAGAACTGTGTAACAGCATCTGGATCACAATCACATTGAGTTGATTGAAATGAATGACTAGTACTTGTACTGGTTTCTGTGTGAAGTGCATGCACATGCCCATGCTTGTCTGGTGGGAGGGGCTTAGGACAGAGAGGGGAGAGCTGCAGGAGGGGGACTGTGTTTTCAAATTGGGATTTTTTTTTTTTTTGCCTTTTCCGTATCCTAGCTCTAAATGTCATCATAATAATAGTAATAACTCCACTGACAAGATGATCCATCTGATTCAGCTCAGCAGGAAATTGATGGATCGATCACATTGTGTTTTTGCTGTGCACTAATTAATCATGTTGCAGTCTGGTGGGAAGAAGTTCGGAAAAGTAGAGACAAATGGTCCAACAGTGGTGTGCAGCTCTGACCTACCTACTGGGAAAACCTTGAACTATGATGGGAGGATCAACCACCCGGAAAAGTGGATCTTTGTTCACTGAAAGACGACCATACATTATTAATACCCACTGATTGATTTTTGAATGGTAACGATCAGAGAGTGAAAGCCTTTAGTTTGATTGCTACTACCTGTCAATGCTGACCTGTGTCCTTGTGTTTGATTTCCAGCCCATGTAGAGAACGAGGAGCAGTACACTCAGGCCCTGGAGAAGTTTGGAGAAAACTGCGTGTACAGAGACGATCCGGATCTGGGTTCAGCTTTCCTCAAGTTCTCCGTCTTCACCAAGGAGCTCACTGCGCTCTTCAAAAACCTGGTGAGTCCACACTGTGTGTGTGTACTTGTGGGTTGAAGGAGTGGGGTAAAATCTTCTGGGACAAAGAAAGATTTCCATCCTCTCCCTAATTGTCTCTATCCCCCTGACTCACTGTGTGTGTTCTCTAACACACGCGCATCGAGCACATACAGAATCCAGCTGGAACTTAAAGCCCTCGGGGAGGTAGCTCTAGTTTTTCCATTGAGACAGCCAAAGAGCCACTGCATCACCAGATATCTGCTGGATCTAATTCAACCTGATCTGTTAAAGCCAGGTTTTGTACCCAGGCCAAAGCCTTATTAGAAAAATCTGACACCATCATCATGTGAGGTCTGTCGCTTCTCCTCGGACACTGTATCGACTTTAAGACCAGGAGCTTGAGGTTTTATATTAGTGTTATCTCAACACCTTATATTAAAGAAATATGAGCTGCCGCCTGACCTGGATGTGAAGATGTAATCTCTCTAAGCTTTAGCAGGCTCTCGCTTCCTAGATTACATGTGCAGCGTAATACACAGAGGCTCACAGTCACTTGCAGACAGAGGAGTTACTTGTCTCATAATGGATCGTTTTGTAGACTGTTTCAAGGCGTCTTTTTGTTGCTAGGGAACAACATTATTGTTTAACTAAAGCCCAGTACAGACTAACAATTAGCGTCAAGACAAAACGGTTTCAGAACGTTGCAGAGAAAAGTTGCAGTGGTGCGAACTGGCCGTCTGAACTTGACTCAAGCCGGCTGATGGTGTCACCTACATGTACAACTTACCTGGTCAAATTGCTGGGGGCTGGTTTTAGAAAGTAAGGCACGTCACCTGTTTCTACAGCCAATCGGCTTGTAGTAAAGTTCGTTGGTCAAGTCATCCTCACTGACTGATAATTGGTGCTGGTTATTTTATATTTATGTGGTGTATTGATTCTGTTTTTCACCGTCTCATCACTACTACAAATGCAGCCATAGCCAGTATCTCACTATCACTATCCTCATTCATATTTTAAGAAGCTACAAATTATGTTCAGCCACAAAATAAGCCTGAAAAGCTGGAAATCAGAACAGAACAACCAAGAGTTGTTGCATAAAGATGATACATCATCTCAACTAGTTGCACTTGTGTGAACCGGCAGGTTTTTAGATCGTAGCAGAATGGCACATTGCAATTAGTTGCCTGTTTCAACTTGTCTAGTCATGGATCTTTGGTCTGAACTGGGCTTTAGACTTGCAGTCCAGCTATGATTGCATGAAACAGCATATGAAAAACCGAACTTCGGTCCCCTTGAGCTGAAATATACACTGTGGGAAAGGACGAAATTAGTTGTAGGATGTTGCTTTTTAGTGGTAGGGTATTCCCTTTGAAAAGGTACAAAAGTCAGAACTAAAAGTCTGCCGTCTCTATGGAGAAACAAACCAGTGTGGATTGCAGCGGTTGACCGAAAGAACTAGACAACAGTGCATCTGTAGCACTCATATTATTACTAGTACTGTATTTTTCACAATTTTTTGGACAATGAAATCAAGACAGACATGCAACATATACAAGAAACAATGCTCATCCCCCCCTCTCTAGATTGTTGGCTTGAGATCGTCGGCTTGGACAAGCTAACACTCGCTGACAACAGCAAAATATTGCAGAACTTACAGGTAATGAAATTTGCACTACAGACCCTGAAGTTTCCAGACGGTGTCCAGTTCTTTCTTTTGACTGCTGCAATCCACACTTTGCGCAGTGTGTATTTCAGTTCAGGAGGACTAAAGTTCAACATGTCATATGCTGTTTTTGTGCAGGAGTGGTTGGAGCGGATTCAAAGTGGAACAGCAATGTTGTTTTCTATCAACCCATGGATGCCCTAAAACGATCTATTTTTGTCTTTTAATGATGTGAAAATTCAATTTCTTAGCGATTAAAAGACGTCCAAGTTCTGCTGAGGGTGCAAACTTTTAGACATTAGAGACAGCAGCAAAGTATAATCAACCCCTTGTCCCCCACTGCTTTAGTAATGGGTATTTTCTAGTAATTTTGTACCTCATTTAGCTCATTCAGCCTCTTAACACCATCATTTACCGAAGATACAAAAGAAAACTTGCATGCATTTTTACCCTAGTGCCTCCCTTTGTCATTCAGCTTTTTTCCTTTGGGACACACAGCACACTCACACAAACAACACACTAAAAGGATTACATCTCAGTGGCGTCGGGCGCCCCTGACTTTCAGTCTCTGGCAGGTTTAAATCCTCTGATGTAACCCTTCAACTCTTATCTGTCTCTCTCCTCACCCTCCTCCAGTTCCAAAACATGAACAACATCATCACCTTCCCTCTGGACAGCCTGCTGAAAGGAGACCTGAAGGGAGTCAAAGGGGTAAGGCAACAAAACAGCATGGTTTTGTGTTACTCTGTTACCGCACAGGAAGCGTTATATGAGTAGATGAGTAGGGTTTAGACTTGTGCTGAATTATCAGTGATCACAACAAGTTTTAAAAGAAGTTTCAGTATGTATTAAAGTTAAATTTGCTTTGAAGCAGCTTTGGCGTCCTCATGTCTTGCTAACAAAGTTACTAGCAAGCAGCTGTGATTTGCCTCAGGCACCTTTCCCCTGTTTGCATAAAAAGTTAAAGTTGAGAGTAGATACCAGAAGACACCTGACTTTATGAATCTACAAAAAAAAAAACACACAAACTTCACCTCTCACTAACTGATGAGTGCCAAAGCATTGGCATGATGCCTGCAATAACTCAACATGATAGAAGTTATACAAAACTGTCATCACTCCATAAGATGTGTTTGAGTTAAAACGAGGAGTCTAAAATCAGTCAATGTGCTTTCAAAGGTGAGCCAACGATCACACAACATAACACATGAGAAAGTGTTCGTACAGAGTTCACAATCACTCAGCAAGATATTATTTTGTATTGAGTATCAGGTTGAACAATTTACCAGTGAGACACAGAGGTTTCTGGGTTTGTGATCCAATCAATGAGTTGGTAAGATGGCCAACAGTAATTTATGACTCCCAAAGACTCTATGTTTGAGGACCAACAGGCCAGTTACCCAATACTTGTATCTCTTATAGTCATACCCAAATTTCAATTACATTAGAAAGGCTTGTCCCTCTTAGGACTTGCTATTGTTTGAAATGTTTTGACACTAGTGCTGATACAATATTTAAAGTAGATCTTTGATTCTCTGCCAGAGGCTGATTGGGCACAACATGACCTGCTGGGTTCGGGCCAGGCCAGACTGTAATTTCTCAATATTAACCAGGGCTTGAATCGGGTTGGGTTCTTTCCAATTTCTCCGATTCACCTTTTTTTCTTTTCTTTATAATGAAACTGGCACTTCTCGTTTGTAAATGGCAGGAGTTGCATTTGACTGACTCAAGAGGGAATTGGGGTGGGCTGCAATAGAGCAAGAGGGACAGCAACAGAGCAATATAGTGGAGGGGGAGCGAGACAGTGTGAAAGAAAGGGATGGGAAATGAGAAAAAGAGATAGAGACAGAATCTGCAAGGCAACTTGGTTCACATGGGAATGTTGTGTGTAATATGCAGTGGAGAGTAGTGATCATCATCTCCCTGCTGTATCACCATGGGCCGCAGTCCGTTCTGTTGAACCTGTTATGTGTTAGACACTGAGTCGATGACAGACTATTGAAATAACAGAAGTGTTGCCTTAAAATGGTCTTAAATTGGCAGTTCTTACTGTATTTTTGGGGTATTTTATGTCTTAATTAGAGCCGACAGTGGGGAGATCACAGGAAACAAGGAAAGAGAAAGATGGGGAGTGATATGCAACAGTGCCTTAAACCCATGAGCCACCAGTGTACCCCTAAAACTGACAACATTTTTGATTTGACACCCACAACTTTCAGATCAGAGAATGAGTACTTGGTGCTACGGAAACATCTCGGTCTTTACCAAAAAAAATTATTAAGGTTCAGCACACAGCTGTTAGTCAGCCAATCAGTCGTGTATCCACCAGCCAGACCAAACTCAGACAGACACTCGTTAACAGTCTCTGCAGCTCCGTAATGCAATCAGCACTCGTTACTGTCCGTGGTGGCCTGCGACCTTTCACTTCCCAGGCACAGGATTGGCTGAGGCTTCCACAGAGGTATGATACGATTAAGCCAGCTCTCTAATGAGGCTGGTCGCCATAGAAACAGAGGTTGTCCCTGTGACCCTCTGCCGCTTGGCTCTCTCTTGACCTCTGAACTGTTTGTCCTCTTTTTCCTCCCTTGCTCTTTTGTGAGTCTCTCAAGTGCAGTGTTTTCTTTTCAGCCTGTGTCTGCTTTTCTCCTCCACGATTTCCTTCCTTTGTCTCTCCCTTAACTCCACTTCTGTCTCTCCCCCCTTGTTCTTTCCCTGCTGTCTCCTTCACTCTGTCCCCACCGCCTGCCCCCGTCACTCTCCAGTCTGGCTGTGACAGCCAGTCACATCTGTAATGCTTACCCACTTATTGCTCATTAGCCCTCTGATGATTCTCATTACCAAAATGGCATGGGGGGTAATGAGCTGCTGGTTATTTTATACCTCAGGACACACACACTTCTACACACACTCACATAAATGTCACTAATGCTGCGGTGTAAATAGACCTCAGAAATTATGCCTCCAGTGTCAGGAGAAGAAAAGTGGGGAAAGAAAGTAAAGGAAGCCATCTAGAAATTACACGATGGATTAGTTCTTGTCTTCATTCACCGCTACACCTCCCTCCAAACCTGTTGCTCACCTCCACAGCTCAAGGCTGCTCCCTTGTCCCTCCCTTCCCCTCATCATCTTCCTCCTCCTCCTCTGTCATTATCTTTCCTCTTCATCCTGTCCTCTCTCAGGGGAAGTACCTGTTAGCAGAGGGGAAAGCAGGAAGAAGTCCAGACCTGCATGACAGGCTGTTTAGACTGCAGTGAGAGAAGGATGAAGTAATGGGTTGATATGGATGTCATTAGAGAGGAAGGGAGGTGTATTTAAAACACCAGAGATGTCTATGGAGAGAAATTACTCTTAATATTAATGATGAATGTTTGTTACATGGTCCACAAATACAAACAAGATTCTACATGTAGTATTCTCCATGTATTTACAACTTTGAGTTTATTGATTGAATAGTATTTGCTTTTGAAAAAGCTTCTTTTGAATTAAAATGTCTGAAAATATTTTTTTATAAGTTTTTTGCAATGCACATGCTTGATGTGACAAAAGTAAAGCTGGGGTAGGCAGTTTCATTTTGGCGTCAGTGGCCAAAACTCCCATAATAAGCTTCGAGCATATAATGCAATTCAAGTGGTCTGACAGAAAACTAGACTTCTACAACTCCTCTCAGGCTTTAGAAAATCTAGACTGCGACAGGAGACTTCAGTTACAGGTAATTTAAGAGAGAATGCTCTTATTGGCTGTTCTACAAATGCAGATGCGCGTGTGCGTCCCTTCAGATGGTGAAAGCATGATTCATTGGTGGAGAAAGTTGCTATTCCAGCATTGGCAACAACTGCCTTCACTGCAAAGCAACCTCCCCAAAAAAAGACGGAGTTATCAAAAAGAGAGTCTCAAAGAAAGTCAGACAATTAACGAAATATGTTTTAAAGATTGAGACATAAAGTTGCTAATAGTTTTGCCTTCAGCTAACTGTGGCCAAAGCCTCATAGCTGCGGCTTCATGTTCAGGTTAATGTAGCAAACATTAGCTGGAGCCTAGAAGCATAGTGTGTTGTGCGTCGCCGCCCATGGGGTGGCTTGCTAATTCTAGGTTCATTTGTGAGAAATGGAGAGAGTGTGGAGCAGGAAGGGGCGGAGAGAATGTGCTGTGTGCAACAATACAAATGAATAAGACTCATTAAATCACTGTATCTGAAACACTGGGTTACTGTATGAAGTGTGTGCATATGCCTGTTGTCGTCTGGTGGGAGAGGCTTAGGAAGGAAGAGGATGTATTTTCAAATTCTGCTGTCAGATTCCTGTCTTCCCCAGCTTTAAACCCAAATGAGACTGAATATTACATGTAAAAATACTACTTTAAATATTGCCTGAGGAGACAAGCTGCCAAAAAGAATCGTCAACCACCAGCACTTGAACGCGACATGCATTTTTTTGGATCTGATACTATAAACAGAGCCTCAAACTCCTCCCACAAATGTAACCCTATCAACACATTCAGCAAATTGTAAATTAATGCAAAATGAAGACGTATATCTCCCCATGGAAGGCCACAACAAGAAGACTGAGCACACAGAGGGCAGGTCATAACAGCTAGGAAAATACTTTTAAAGCTGGAGTGCAGAACTTTTGTCTCCCCCCTCTGGCAGTGAGAGTAATTACATAAAAACTGTGGCATGTGCTTGTGACGAACGACTGCAGATAAGCTAGCAGCAACTCTCCAGCCCAAGAGAGTGTTCTTTTTTTGGCTTTCATCCAGTGCATAAAGTTTTCTGAGATGTTTCTTAGGATGTTTTTTCGTACTCCAAGCTGCTGCTCTGTTGCTATGGTCTTGCTCTTCTCACTTCCTGCCCACTCTAGCTCTGGCTGGTTGATGTAAAAAGCATCACTTCCAAGGAAGTCACCAGAGATGAGCTTAATCAGGATTGTTTGAACTCATTTGATAAGGACTTGAATGTAACAGACGTTCATTTTTATGTATAAGTCCTCCAGTCCAGCAAAACATCAGGAAAACCGGAGGATCTCCTTGAAAAATGTGTATTAAAAAATTACTAAAAGATGTCCTAATTTTCTTCCAATGCATAAAAAGTGCAATCTGGTATCTTGAAGTGCTCCGTGATTACTGCAGCTGTGTGGCAGTTATAATAGCCACCAGTCCTTTCATTTGATTTAACTCGGGATTTAATGGCTTTCTGGTGGCCATTGTTCCCTCGGAGCTTGTTAATATTCTGCCAGTGCTGTCTTTGGCAATGAGTGTGATGAACCAACCCCGAGGGAGGCCAGCACTAATGGCTCTGTGATTAGAGGGCTACTACCTAGCAACCTGTCACTGCTGTTACTCAGCTAAAAATCCACCATTTTCCACCTCATCTACCTCGATGGCCTTTTCACCACACAGGACAATTGGCATTTTATAAGCAGGCGAAGTGTTCTGTAATGCCTCTATCAAAAGCTCTTTGTTTGACAGAAATATTTAACTGAAATAGTCTGAACTCTGGATACAGCTCAGTTGGTGCAGAACTGGTGTAAAATGACGGGGTGGGGTCCCTGGAGGACCCAGTAGTGTTTTTACTGAAGATAAACACACACTCAGTGGAAAATTGAAAGTGCTGAGTCCACGAGACCTTTCTGCTAACAGCGGACTTTCAGAGTGGACGCCGGCATGATGTCATGCCTGCAGCTGACCCTCTCATCCTCTGTTCATTGACCGGTCTGTGTTTCTAACCCACCATGAGTCATATCAGCTCATCACTATTTAGTTACAGTGTCTGGATAAGTTGCTGCAGAGTCTACTGTGTTGACTAAGTGAGGAGGTGAGGAGGGGGATGCCTGCACCCTGTCTCATTGTGGCTCAGTGAGTCGTGAACACCCGAAACACCCACGCAAGCTCGCTGTTTGAGATTTAAGATAAGAGCTGATTTCTAATTGAGGCTTTTTCCTCATTAGTTTGCATACTACACACTCCGCTATCAACTCAAACATCGGCAGCATCAGTAGTTTTTAAAGTTACTGAACAGAGGATTTACAAACAGCAGGAGCAGTAGATTAAAGGTCAGTCCAGCTGGATTATAACATCCCATTTTCTCACTTACTTCTTGTGCAGGGGTGCTCAAAGTTTTGCTGACAGCATTGAGAGCTTCACAGGAAAAGTGCTGTTGCGAGACAACAGAATGTGCCACTAGTTGCCATTCAACCAGTAATATTCTACAAGGTTTGATCCTTAACCTAACAGAAGCTTGTTCAAGCAGTTTAATACTGTCTCCTTGAAGTGTATTAAATATAAGCTATTGAAAGGGAAGGTATTGAAATGATTAAAATAGAACAAATTTGTTTCATGTCATGCTCGGAGGCTGCACAAAATGTTTCGGATGGCAGCCATTGGCCCATGGACCACTCTTGGCAAAAATATTCTAGTGGTATCTTGATTTTGAGATGTCTGTGTCTTAGTTTTTTGCCTCCACTCCTGATAACAAAGGTAAGCTTGTGGCATGAAAAAGGCATGTAAAAAATGTAATAGTAACATGACTTTGCAGAAACCATACACTGTATAAAAGAAGTGGACATAGCCACTATGAAATCACCCCTTGGGTGGTGGAGTTAAGGGGTGGATCTGGCTCTGAAACCAAGGACACTGCTGTGATAGTGATTTCTCTGTCACAAGGTAGCAACCGTAGTTGTATAAAAAGAACTGGATACAGCATTGGAGTTGGGGCCCCATTCATTCCTATAAAAGTTGCTCAGTTGTGCAAAAAGCCAAAAAAGTCAAACTTACCAGGTGTAAAATTACCCAGATCTTCTGCATTATTGGGCCCAAAGAGCAAGCGCACTGAAGACTTCAGTGAGCTAAGTGACTAACTGCCACCAGCCAAGAGGCTAACTTCAGGTTTAGCCCTGTGCTAACTTGAACGGGATGAAATTATTTAATCATGTGATTCTTCTAGAATTTTGAAGTGTTATCATACCAAATGGATCATATCACAATAGTGAAATGAATAATTTCATGTGGGTTGTGTAGTTTACAATGTCAGTCCATGGGTAAAAAGTCTTATTGGGCCCAATGGCCTCATGTGACGGACCTATAAGTTTTAATTTGCCTGTTTGGACTCTACAAAAATTGGCTTCAAAGGCTGGTGCCATAATGCCAAGCATATAAAGTAAAATGTACAATTTGTAAAGATAATATTGTTGTGATGCTAATTTCCGTTCCATGAATGGTAATTTCAGTTATGTGTTCAGCATCGAGCTGATGGCTTGAACGCTGGTTGTTTGCCACGTGGTTGTAGCAGTTAGAATTCCCACTCCTTCACAGGAGTACTCCCTTTGGTCTGTGGATTACACAGAATAATAGCCAGGAAATATTTAGTTAAGTAATTGTTTAGTTGACAAAGTTTACTTTTTTTTTTTTTGTTTTTTGTTTTTTGTGATAGTAAGTAACCACAAAACCACAACCACAAAGGAATTTGACTATGTCAGATGGAAAACCAAGTGAAACCTAAACTATCTGCTTAACTAGATACCACCAGGGTTAAGTGAGAGAGTAATAATTAATGTAATTTGGTGAACTGACCTTTTAAGTGCTCATATCCAAAAATACTACAGATCCAAAGTAAACTCTGCCTTCATTGCTGCTGACCAGGTTGTACCTTCATTACTGCAGTGGGAAAGGTGTGAGGAATGTGAAACAGGAACTGCTATTCCTGGACATGTGTAGTCATAGGTAGGAAGAGGTGATAAGTTTGTGAATGGAGGCCCTTCACAAGGGCATGACATTCCTCCTTCATCCTTTGGATTCAGCCAGACAGGGAATCAGGGCGCTCAGAGCTCGCTGCTCTCTGAGGGAGTGATCTGCCCCGTGCTCTGGCCTATTCTGCTCAGCCATTCCCTGCCCAGCGATGCCTGATCCTGGTATTTTTAGCCATTGTTACCATTTTTCTCCTCTCTCTGGCTCTGACATTTCCTTCCGCTCACCCTCTCCTTTCTTTCTGGCTCTCTCTTGACCTGCAGTACATTCTTTCAGCCGTTTCCTCTTTTGCTCCGGCTTTTTCTCTTCACGGGCTTCCAGTATTTTTATAGTCTTTCATGCTCTCTTTCCTCTGGTGGTTTCTGTCCTTGAGCTGGTTGACTGAATGGCTGAGTGCTCCTTGGCTCGGTCCAGTGAACCACTCTGTGATCCTGTGGGTTGACAGGTTGAGCCTGCCACTCCTCTGCTGTTGAAGTGGAGGTCAACAACAGCGGGATCACGGTCCTCTCCGGAGCTCTAACAATGCACTAAAGCCATAAGCCGTCTGTCCAGCCGAACAGAAATATGTGTGTTTTCACATTCATGGACAGGAATGCACAGTTAGTCAGACATTAGTGCTGCTTAAGGTTCTTTTTGTTGTTTTTAAGAGCACATAAATGTGACATAATTCTCTTGATTATTCTTTGTTATCGTTGCATGCTGTTGAGCGGATTTCCCTGGCGTTCTGGCTGTGGTATCAAGCAACAATTAATTTAGTTGAATTGTATTTTTAAGGGAATGACACGGCCAATTGCACCCACTAATGTCTGCTTTTGTTTGTCATAATCGCTGTTTAATCAGCATCGCAGCATTCGGGATGTTGTTTAATCAAGCGCATTGCTCAAGCAGCTGTTGAAAGCACACCCCATGACGATGGGAAATCAGCGTTGCCTGTTGTCACTGTGAGCAGAAGGATCGCGTCGAGAATGCCAAAAAACAATTGCACTGCGCTCCTGCCTTCCCAAAAAACCCTCCACGGTAACCTCGCCCAGCTCCCTGCTGACACAGCTGTGGGCTGCTGTGCATCTGTGAGGAGGATGATTCAGCTTACTGATTTCACATTGTGACGAAGCACACACCTGCAAACACAAACACACACACACATACACAGTAGCGCTGCTCATTAGGGGTTGAGAAAGGAAAGTATTTTTCTGAGCATGTGACAGTTAGTAAGCAGTGACAGTGACATCATGATGGTGACATCTTTGGGATTCCAGGTTGCTGTAATGGTGTGTGTGTTTTAACTCCTGTACAGCCTTATAGTGGTGTGGTTCCTATACATGTTTGCTCTATAACAGTGCTTCTCAACTGGTGTGCCATAGGATTTTGTGGGGAACCTATTTGTCGCTGTTTGCACATGAGAATTAAAAATGTGTGACACATCAAAAGCCCTGATTAGGAGCCAGTGTGAGGGATGACAAAAATATAAAGGAGAAAGCCGTGAGTGGGACAATGGATCGCTTTATTCGACAGAGCAAATTACAACAAAGCACCACCAATTGCGACCTACCACCGAAAGGAAAGAGAACAGCTTATCTTTGGTGCGTCGAAAAAATGGTGGCAGATTCCTGTCGCAAGTTTCCAGAGTATAGAGTGGCACCTTAAAATTCCACTTAATGATAATATAAAACTGAAAAAAGCAGCAAATTGTCACATTTGTGATGCTAGAATTTGCAAATGTTGTAGCTTGATAAATTATTCAAGCAATTCATCTAGTGTGAAAAATTGTTGAGATTTAAAATTCAATCTTGACCTTGTCAACAGCAACTGACGCAACTGTCTCACCATGGGGTCCATTTATGAGCTGTTCTGGAGCTTTCTGTCATATCAGAATTTTTATGGCTTTTTTGCCTTTATTAGACAGGGCAGTATTAAGCGAGAAGGCGTGACATGCAGCAAAGGGCCACAGGCTGGAATCAAGCCTGTGGCCACTGTGGCAAGGACATTGCCTTTGCACATGGGATGTTCCGCTCTATCCGCTGAGCTACTGGGCACCCCACATATCAGAAATTGTTTAGTAATTTTCTGTTGATCAACCAATCAGTTAATCAACTAATCATTTCAGCACCTGACTAATTTAAACTTTCTCCTTATTTTTTTTTTTCACAGGATCTGAAAAAGCCCTTTGACAAAGCATGGAAGGACTACGAAACAAAAGTGTAAGAAACCTAATATGTTTACTCAACATCCTTTAATCTGTTTTCCATAAACCGAACCAGTTGGTTAAAGTGGAAACAGACAAGTTTTTGCTTTAACATATGAAGTAAATGTGGTTGCACAATGTAGTGGCTGTAGAATAATAACACCATCTGCGTTTAGATTGGTTCCCTTTAAGCTTTGCTTTCACTGTGCAGTTCTGTCTGTCACTGGGTACAGTCTCCAGGGAAAATAAAGGCTCATGGAAGCCACAAATGAAGTGTGTCAACCATTGCACAACCAAAACAGGAAAAGAAGTAGTGCTTTTGTTTTTTTCTGGTAGCTGTCCCAGGTTACCATTATAAGTTTTCTGCAGTTACTGAAAGCTGTTTTGTTGCATTGCATCTTAGCGAAATGCTCTGAGTGAATTTAAGTTCTCTCAGGTGAGCATTCATGCAGTGAGTGGAAATATCAGGGACCAGTTGCACAACACCTGAAGTTTTCTCCTCAAGTATACTTGAGGAGAAAGTATCCTTTAGAGTATCCTTAAAAGGTTTCCTTAGTTAAGGGGAAACATTAACTCATTTGCTATGTTGAAGGAGATTTCTCAGTGGTAAAAGTTTCCATGGAGATTTTTTGTTTGCTTGAACTCACACTTGTGATGCCTGTTATTGTCTCACAAGGTTGGCTTATAGTTAGATAGTGGGGAAAAAAGGACAGAAGAAGACAAGAAAGCCATATTGGTCGGAGGAGGAAATTATTATACTTACGGAGGAATACACAAGAAAACCATTGTTGGAAGAAGCAACAAATATTAATTCAGTTAAATCTATACAGTAAAATCAAAAGTGTATCCATTGGGTTCTCCACTCTTCTTGGGGTGTGTTAGTTTTTGTCATGAATCCACATAAACTCAGTCATGATGCCATTAAGATAGAGTCAGAGGTATGTCAAGTTTTTTTGTACCTTGCTTTGGTTGCTAAGGTCTTGTGCAATGGTCCAGGGATTCCTCAAGTAAAAGACCAAGACAAGGAGAAAACCAATAAATACCTTACAACCATTTTAAGGACACCTTAAGGAGAACACTTCAGGGTGTTTTGTGCAACCAATTTTATTTTTAGAAAACTTTAACTAGGACCTTACAGCAAATCTTAGCTTAGTGTTTTGTACAACTGGTCTCAGGGCCTTTATTGTGAAAGTTAGGAATGGAAGGCGTAAGGCTGCAATGTGCTGCCATTTAAAGTGTGTTGGCATTTTGTTTCAGACTAAGGAGCCTTTTATTAATCATTTTACTACTTCCATTAGTAGGCTTGGGCGGTATCTCCACAGTACAGTATGACAGGGTATTTAGAAATCCCCACGGTATGACACTCATCTTTCTATTAAACTGACACAGAGATGCTGTATTGAGGCAATGTATTATAGTGCACATCAAGCACCACCAGTGGTAAGTCTCTACTGGTGGAACAGGGAGCAGAAATGACAAATATGGTGAATGCGAGTGGTGGGGATAACGTTACAGGACTGTAAACAGTCAACCAGCAAAGGCACAGAGAGTCCACGGGAAAAACAACAACATAATTTTACATTTAACTCGTTGAATAAAAGATTATATCGACGAAACCAGAGTCTGTGATTGTTGGATCGGTGGACTAACTAACTAGACTGGTGGGTTGCAGGTTCGTTGTGAATGGACTGCAAGTGAACTGAAAACATGTCATGTTTATAAAAACACTTTATTTGAGGTACACTGAATTTGCATTGCAAAGGTTTTATTTTGAAGTGCCGTTTTCCCACTGTAGAATGACTAACCGGCAACTATTCGAGAGGGACAGCAAATTAGCTTAATGACATGGCCAATCGCAAGTATGACGCTGAATATATTAAACTGTGTGGACCGTGAACTAAGTTTTAAGTTTATTTACTTTATTAATCCCCCTGAGGGGAAATTCAATGTCAATTACACACAGGTCTGAAAGACACACATATGCACAAACAGGACCTATACATGTAAGTGGAGAGATGTCAGAGTGAGGGGGCTGCCCATGACAGGCGCCCCGAGCGGTTGGGGGGTTCGGTGCCTTGCTCAAGGGCACCTCGGCAGTGCCCAGGAGGTGAACTGGCACCTCTCCAGCCACCAGTCCATGCTCCATATTTGGTCCGGACGGGGACACGAACAGGCGACCCTCCGGTTCCCAACCCAAGTCCCTATGGACTGAGCTACTGCCACCCCCACTGTGACTAAGGAGAAATATGTATCCCATGGCTGGACCAGTTGGGATCCAGTAAACTAGATGAGTCACAAGGCTAACTAAAAGAGTTTTGGTGAGACACAAATACCATCATACACCGTATACCCCAGTGACATTTAAGGAAGTTATGAAAATTTAGATCTTGCCCAAGCCTATTGATAAGTATAGGCATAACTCTAAACCCTTGGCTACAGTACCAGTGAAGGTTCTTTGCAGTTACTGTCCTCAGTAGCGGAAATGGTTCATGGTGGAACAACTGAAGTAACTGTAGACAACAAAATGCAGTGTGTCCTGTGTTGTTAGCAGATGTTAGGCTCTAACAAAAACAGAAAGCAATCTGGTCTTTGTGACAGTGGCGCACATAATAATGGAACACTAAGCAGGTAAAAGTTTGAAAGTTGTCTGTTTCCACTTTAATTCATTAAAACTGTGCAACATGTTGACCCAGTGCTTAAAACCGTGTGAATACACAGTCATCCTGAGTTTAAATTGATCAGTTCAAGCAAGTCTCAACTTGCTACACATGTGCCGGTTATGTTAAAATGAATGTGTCATGTCTCTGTCTGACTTGTCTTGACTAACCGCTCTCCCCCTCTAACCTCCCCCCCTGTGATAATCTGTCAACACTACCCTGATAATGTGAATAACCAGCCTCCACCATCACCTCTCCACCTCCACACTGAGACACCATTTCCTCTGACACACCATTGTGATTGTGCATGCAAAGAACACATGGATTTTTATAGCACTTTCATATATTTTACAAGCTGCAAAGGACATTCTTTACTGAAAGGGTAATAACATCTTCTCTCCAAACCGTTTCGATCAGACAGTACGGGCTTTGTACTGACATCGAGAGCTCAGCCGGATGCTATGTGACTGTTGCTGACCGTCCCAACTTATTCTTATGATTTGACTCTATTGATGGCGGACAGAGGCCATCAATAGAGTCCAGTTTTCTGCCTGATTGGAAAACCACCCAAGGAATCTTACCGATCTTCTTTTCCAATGATCCTCTGATCGTGTCTGATCTCTCTGCTGTCTGCTGTTTTTATATTCACAGACACAAAGAGATGAATGGTCTCAACACAGCATTGATTTCTGATTCCCTAGTTTGCAAGCTCTTTGCATCTGAAACCCGAGTTTGAATTGTGTTTTCAGTCTCCAGGTCGGGAGATGTCTCACTTTTGAATGCTGTTAAATCAGGAAGTGTTTGTAAATTACTAAAATCAGACAAAATGTTCCTAAATTTTCACAGAACGTATCTTCAGAATCTCCACTGTCTTCTGTCTGTATTTCCTAATTGGCGTTGAATCACTTCCTGATCTGACGGCACTGAAAGTGACTGGATTCTCCGCACGATCATCAGCTCAACAACTGTCAGTTTGGCTGGTGGCCAAACAGCCTGGCTAACATGTGTCTCTCTATTAGTCGCAGCCCTGATGATGCTGTAACGCTGTGAGGGCTGAAGATTCATGTGCTGACAAAGGCCAGCAGTGTACTCTCTTAATGAAATGAAATTTGGCTTGTTCACACTGGCAAAATGGTAAATTTACGACCAAAACTAAAGGCTGTCGGAACTTATATATCATTAAACAAGTGAAAGTTAGCATCCCAGCAGCATATCACACGGCCTTTGTGCAAATGCCAAATGACACATGATACTAGATATTATGCAACGGCAATAAAACAGAAGAAGAATTTGTTTTTGCTTCCTGTTTAAAGTGGTGCAACATCATGAATCATGATATCAAGGGTGCAGCAAGAAGGAAAGACATTTGGGAAAATGTGCTTATTTGCTTTCTGGATGAAAAGTTAGATGAGAAATGGGAACCAGTCACATCTCTTTGTTAAATATGAATCTACAGCCAGGAAACAGTTAGCTTAGCTTAGCATAAAGACTGAAATCAGGGGGTAATGGCTAGCCAGGGTTTATCTAATAAAATCCACCTACCAGCTTATTAATATGCAACAGATCTTGTTTGTTTCATTCATACAAAAACCAAAGTGGAAAGACAACTTTTATCTAACCCTCAGCAAGAAAGCAAATACATGTACTTCCCAAAAATGTCAACGTATTCCTTGAAGACTAGTGTTTTAAAAAATGGCTCATGCAGTCACACCACTTGAATCCTCTTCTTTAAAGTTGTGGAATGATCTTTTTGTATTCATTTGTTTCCGTCATATATTATACTGAGCCTACCTGCAGGTCAAACAGATAACACAGTTGAACACAAGGGAGTCGAGTCTGTCTTGATGCACATGAACCAAGCTCAACAGCCCTAGAACGGCTTGCGGACACCGACACCCTCACCCCGTCTCTCCGAGAGGGAACAAACTGCTGCATCCTTTTTGTAGGGAATATGCTGTCAGAAATAAAAACAGCATATGGAAAAGAATGCCCTGTTGCATGGTCTGGTGCCTCCCCCTCCGTTGCGTGTGTGTGTTTTTCTGATTGCCTGTTAGAGCTACTGTATGCAGTTTATATTGGTCTTTGTGCAAAATCAACCCTGAGTGCTGACTGTCAGGTACAGTAGAATGAAATCAGAATCTTTAGCTGCTAATCTTATTTGCTCATGCCCTTCCATTTTAAAACCCTAAATCCATACCTAACCTTAATCCATTAATGTCTGCATAATGATATCTACACATAAACAAATTACTTTAAATAATTATACCGGTCAGTAACAGCTGAGTTAGGTAATTTCCTCTGGCTGACATCTGCTTCCTAATTTGTTCTGCTTTATGTGCCGTTTCCAGTTGCCGTCTTCAATGAGAATCAACAAGAAACAAGTGTTTTTTGGAAATCTGCCAAATTCTCTGATGAGCTTAGTGCAGTTTAACCCCCCACTTGACAATTTAAGAAGTTCAAACAGCATAGATCTCTTTGTTTCCTTACTACTTAAGTGGAATCAGCGCAGCAGCAGTGCAGTTAGCCAGATGTGCAAATTTAGTGAATTTATTTCAGCACATTGTAAAAGTGGAAATGAGTGTCGCTCTGCATCTGAATGGCTTCTTTAGTTCTGTTGTCTGGGAAAAGGGAAGCCAATGGAAAACACAGGGATGGCTCAGTACCATGCTTTCATGTCCGATGCTGTCCTTTTTTTCCTGATATCTTATCTGGTGATTTAGCCAGGTTTGGACTGATACTGATACTGATACTTAATATCGGCTCGACACATCCCTAGTTGTTTCCCTACTGAGTTAAATGCCAAGGTTACCTCACCCAACAACAGAACCTAAAAGAGCGAATCACATGCGTTCATGTTGAAGTTTGAAGACTGCTTACTACCTTTACCTGGATGGCTTAGATCAGGGGTGTCAAACATATCGCCCATGGGTAAGAACCAGCCCACCAAAGGGTCCAATCTGGCCCACTAGATGACTAGACTAAGAGGTGCCAGGTCTCAGGAGCAAGTTAAACAATGCGTACTTCATGCAAAATTCTGCTTTAGAGGCTTTTCCACCTTGACCAGGATACAGTTCCCTGATATAACAATTAAAACTTCATGTGACCATGTTTAAAGATATTGAACGGTGTGCAAAATAGTCAATCAGCAGTGTCAATTCAGAAGAATCTGTATCAGGAAATGTATGGATAAAAGCACGTGTAATGACAGTGAGTTGTAGACTGACTGAATGTGGAAGAACTGAGACATATTGTTGAAATTGTACTTTATTTTTTTGAAGACATCTCAGGCTGTTCATCTGTTTTGTAAAAGGATGAATGTCTACAGAATGTCCTTGTAAATCTTTAGACAAAAAAAGGGAAAATATTGGAGCTGATGGCACTAATAGGTTATTGTGCAATGGTTTAATTGGCCTGGCCCATCTAAGATCAAATTGGGTTGTATGTGGCCCATGAACTATAACGAATTTGACACCCCTGGTTTGGATGAACCTATGCAGACACACTAACATCACTATTACACCATAAACTTCCAAATCCCAGTCATTTCTAACCTTATAGGTAAAAATAACCATCTCTAACCCAGAACCATTTCAGCATAGATTTCACCCCTTTATCTGCCGCAGCATCAGGGCTGATTTTACACACCTCACCTTTTTCCCCTTGCGTTTACGGTGTGCTGTGTGCTGTCTGACCTCTGTGATGTCACTTCCTGCCAGCACCAAGATAGAGAAGGAGAAGAAGGAGCACGCGAGGCAGCACGGGATGATCAGGACGGAAATCAGTGGGGCGGAAATCGCCGAGGAGATGGAGAAGGAGAGGAGATTTTTCCAGCTGCAGATGTGTGAGGTCAGTCTCACTAATGACTGGGAGTCAGACGAAGTTTGTTTAAATATGTTAATTGAAAAATGCACCATTAAACGTTAGAAATGGAGCTCCTACTGTCTGAAAACGCCTGCAGATAGTTGACAGTGCGTCGAATGGTAGTAGAGGTTTGGAAAAATAACCTTTTTACTGACTAGGTACTGCAAAGCTCTGTCAACAGTTATTTCAGAGTGGGTGTAAAGCATTCTGGAATACAAGTTTTAGGTTACATTTAGTATGTTTGTGTCGTCTGCACCTCTTTGATGTTTTACTTGAAAGATGAAGACTTTTACTTTGAAGCGTCTGGAGATGAGATGAAAGGGACGTGTATGTTTGAGATGGAGCCCGAGTTGCCTTTCCCCTCAGACTGAACCCTGCCTCCTCGTGCCTGACTGAATCTGTATTCATTATGTTTACAGTATCTGCTCAAAGTCAATGAGATCAAAATCAAGAAGGGGGTGGACCTGCTGCAGAACCTCATCAAGTACTTCCACGCACAGTGCAAGTAAGACAACCGAAGCCTGCTGGAAATTTTGTTCAGAGCAGTGTTTTACTTTTGATTTGTAATTATTCAGTGATGTTATTTGACCTGGAAATTGTTAGTTTGTACAATTTAAGGCCCTCAGATATAAATGCAAGTGGCAGGTCTTTTTTAATGCTATGGTAAATTCATATGCCTGCTGCTCAGTTTCTTCCAGGATGGTCTGAAAGCTGTAGACAACCTGAAACCTTCCATAGAGAAACTGGCCACAGATCTGCACACGGTGAGAAAACCAGCTGCTCTAGTGTCGTCTTTCCTTCACTTGACGTGTATATCATTTCTACATCATCATGTGTTTCCTCTCTGTTCTGTCGCCCCTGTTTCCTCCATCTTTTTTACAACAGATAAAGCAGGTGCAGGATGAGGAGAGGAAACAGCTGACTCAGTTACGAGACGTCCTCAAGTCGGCCCTACAGGTGGAGCAGAAAGAGGTAACACACACAAATACACACACAGCTCTGGAGATCCTCTATGACCCTTCAGTGTCAGTCAAATATCACATTTTGATCTTTTTAATCCCTATAGATCTGCTCTTTAATCATAGAGACGATCCTGAATCTCACAACTTTTTAACCCTCAGTTCTTCTCAGACACACACGCGCTAATGTAGGACTCTATCAGGGTTGGGGTTCATGTTACCATGTATCAGCTGAAGAGCAAATTTCTGATTAAAGCAACTACTAGGAGCTGTTATTTTGTGTTGTGGCATTTGAGCTACTTCCTTCAGTTGGCTAAAAAAGGGCTGGAGCTCGGGACTGCTGCCTGTGGCTATATTTTTGTGTTGATTTTGGCGGCCCCTGTGGACAAAATGGGCAGTGTTTCAATGAGCACCACAGCCTTGCCTCATTAAGATCTCGATCTGGCTAACACATGTATTTGTTTTGAAAGTCAGATAAAGAAAGAAACAACTTATTTCTAATGTATGCATAACGATAAGGTGATGTATCCGTTAGCGGCTCTTACGGCTGCACCTGACTAAGAATTATGTCAGTTGTATCGGGTTTGGCTGTTAAATATAAACAACACGGTGGCGTGGTAAGGAAGTGGTTAGCATTGTCACCTCATACCAAGAGGGTTCCTGGTTCGAACCCGGAGTTGGGGGTTCAAACCCTGGGGTGGGGGAGTTTGCATGTTCTCCCTGTGTCAGTGTGGGTTTTCTCCAGGTACTCCTGCTTCCTCCCACAGTCCAAAGACATGCAGGTTAATTGGTGACTCTGAATTGTCCCTAGGTGTGAATGTGAGTGTGAATGGTTGTCTGTCTCTATGTGTCAGCCCTGTGATAGTCTGGTGACCTGTCCAGGGTGTACCCTGCCTCTCGCCTAGTGTCATCTGGGATAGGCTCCAGCCTCCTGCGACCCCTAACAGGATAAGCGGTTATGGAAAATGAATGAATGAATGTTCAATACGAATATTCAACTATTTGTCCATTTTCTTCCATCTAGAACAGGGTTCAGCAGGACTTTCAGGTAATATAGCAAACAAGCCAAGTAAACCTAAGCTAATGCGGGCCAGCTATGCCAGTGACAGATTGGAAATGTGCAACGCCATTTTTTGCAGACACTATATATCAAATAAAAGCCAGAGACTGTATCGTATAAAGTTGCTGTGAGCTGTTAATTTACCTCTTCTAATTAGAAGGCAGAAAATAATGTTATTTTGGAGCCTGACTGGGCAAAGCCTCTCTTCCTCTGGGCAGCTGCCTCTGTCTCGATCCACTTGAAGGAATCTCAGTCAACTGAAGTCAGTCTGTGACTGATGATTCCAATCTTTAGCTTTCAGGGGGTAGCCCCAGTGGCCATGTTAGATTAACTGTATTATGACGATGGTGAATCTAAGTAAACTTTGTTTTAGCCACTAACAGTAATTCATATATTGATGTAAAAACAAGTCTTGCAGTATATAACATGAATAAAATAGACAGGTTACATACCTGTCTCAGAGGAAGAGGAACAATTCCAGATCGATTCTTAATCCTTTAAAATCTCACAATATTCTCCATCTGTTGAATGACCAACCAAGGTTTTGCCTGTTCTCTACTACTGTCTCTAATCTTTTTTCTATTCTTCGGTCTGGTCTTTACTCTTTGCTGATCCTGCCCCAGTATCAGCTATAACGTCAAAAATAAGGTTCTCTAAAGAACAAGCTTCCTGCTTACCTTTACCTGGCTAACGTACCACTCACCACGAAAGTTTGCCTGGGAAATTAAACGTAGGCTCTTCCATCTGTGGTTGCCATAAATCTTTTTGTCTGTATTTGTGGGGAATCAGACCTGGTAACAGGCAGTAAAAATAACTATAGAAACAGCCAGTCTTCTCCCTGATGGTCTCATTTGCTTATGTGGGTCATATAGAGGCATCAGCATTAAACTGCGCCTGTTTAATAACCAGCTGAAAACTCCTTGTAGTTGCTTTAAATCTCTTGTGAAAATGCATCTTCAGTGTGTCATAAAAAGCTGAGGTGTTTCCCATTTGTTTCGTACATACAGTACAGGCCAAAAGTTTGGACACACCTTCTCATTCAATGCGTTTTCTTTATTTTCATGACTATTTACATTGTAGATTCTCACTGAAGGCATCAAAACTATGAATGAATGACTACCTCTTGAAGCTCATGGAGAGAATGCCAAGAGTGTGCAAAGCAGTAATCAGAGCAAAGGGTGGCTATTTTGAAGAAACTAGAATATAAAACATGTTTTCAGTTATTTCACCTTTTTTTGTTAAGTACATAACTCCACATGTGTTCATTCATAGTTTTGATGCCTTCAGTGAGAATCTACAATGTAAATAGTCATGAAAATAAAGAAAACGCATTGAATGAGAAGGTGTGTCCAAACTTTTGGCCTGTACTGTACGTTGTTTGTATGCATTTTTTCCACCACCTAAATGAGTGGACGCGATTCTTAACTGATCCCAGCCCTGCGCTTAGAGAGCCATTAAACATGCAGCCACTTCTGGTCTCACCTAAAGATTGTTCTCTTCTTTCTTTCGCTGCCTCCGTCTTTTGTGAAACAAGTCTAGGAGAGTAAGTGGATTTCTTTGGAAAAATAAACATCGCTGTGGTTGTTTGCATCCTGTTTTCATTGTGGTGTTTGCTTCCATTGTAGTGTTAGATTAATAGTGTTTTATGTGCTTTTTTTTTTACAGCAGCATATGTTTTTATTCAGATTTGTCATCACCATGTTTCAGTGCTTTGGTTCATTTTAGTTGTGCTTCTTATTTTAAATTACTTTTCAATGAGAAAAGCTCGAGCTGCATTCCCGCTCCTCAGAGATTATCCTGTTGGCTGTGTGTGTGTCTGCTGATAACAGCACACACCAATAAAGTCATTAAAGTCCCGTCAGTGCCGGCCTTCAGGAGTCATCCTCTCTGTTTGCCGTGGCATTTCCAGACAGGAAATGACATTATTCATACAAAAATCTGGCCTTTGTTTGCTCATTTTTTACACTGAGGTGTTGTGACATTGTAATCAAACCAAATATCCAAAAGAAAAATCAAGTTAAGTTTAATCTAGCTAAGGTTAAATCTGTTAGAATTGCATTATGATCCTTTCGGACTTGCTTATGGCAGCTATTTGCCACCTGCTTTTGCAGATTCTTATTCAGAGGTGTAAAAGCTCCTTTTATTTCTCATCCCCATGTGTACAAAATCATTCAGGCTCTCAGCCGCAATCTTCTATTGTTCTTCACACCCGCTTCTAAATTCTCAGAGGAGCAGAAGACTCAGAATCAGAGCGTAAATCTGAGCCATTTAACGCTTCGGTGGCTCCCACTTGACAGCAATTTGAATTGGCAAATCCTACGTGCAGCACCTGCTTTTTATTTGTTCTGGTTTTTTGTATTTGTGTGAAGGCTCTGATTTCTTGTCTCTATTTTTGTGTGTGTTTTCCCAGGATTCACAGGTGCGACAGAGTACCACCTACAGCCTGCACCAGCCACAGGGTAACAAGGAGCATGGCACAGAGCGCAGCGGGTACCTTTACAAGAAAAGTGACGGGTGAGTTTTTGAAATATCGTTAGAAGATGAGTTGTGGTGCTGTATGTGAAATAAATATTAGTTTATTGAACACTGTTTTTTGCTGAGTTTTAAATTTGTAATAAATATATTAAGATAAGATTTTTCATACAAAAAACCCAACTGAAGATTTCAACATATTTCAAATGTAAAATTATTTTCATTACAAATTAAACTGTTCATAATTTTCTCATTCAATCACTTGAATAAGTTTGTAAAATGTCACAAAATAGTGACGTGCCCATCACAATTTACCAGAGCCCAAGAGGACATCTTCAAATAGCTTGTTTTAACTGATCAAATCCCAAAGATTTTAAGTTTACAATGATATAAAACAGAAAAGCAGGAGAGTTCTTCTTGGAGAGTGTGATTGGTGTTCTTGACTGAAAAATGGCTTGAAGGTCCAGTGTGTAGGATTGAGGGAGATATACTGGCAGAAATGGAATATAATAAGTGTTTTCTTTAGTGTATAATCACCTGAAAATAAGAACCGTAATGCTTATGTAACCTTCTACTGAGTTGGTATATCTACATAGGGTGGGGATCCTCATCTATGGAGATGGTCATGTTGCACCGCCATGTTTCTACAGCAGCCCACAATGGACAAAGCAAACACTGTCTCTTGATAGAACCATTCGTGTTATTGTGTTGGCCACTGTATTTTGCAGCCCCTCTGTGACGAGCAGCAGCTGAAAAACACTGATTTTTTTTTTAACATGAAACTGCTTAATTTAGGGATGTCCCAATCCAGCTTTTTCACTTCCGATCCGATACCGATATTACAGCCTTGAGTTTTGGCCGATACGATACCAAGCCGATCCAAGCACGTATTATACATATTCACTTATTTTGTTGTCAGTCATTTTAGAAAAGGTTTGATCAAGCAATATTACTCTAACAAGAACAACTACTTAATCGGGTTAGTTAGGATGATCCACAACAGCTGGTATGAGAAACTGACCCGTTTATTGTTAACAGGGTTAAATAAACAAACTTTAAACTTGAACATTAACATTAAATAAAAAATATAGATAGTTTGCTTTGGCTGCTTTGGCCCCTTAATAAATAGAAAATAAATCAACACAAAAAAACATTGTTGACATTTAAAAAACAATGCAGCCTTTCCTTTTCAGTTATTTTAGTAGTGTCAGTGCAAGCCTGGTGCACAGGCACACAATATTGTACAACTGTTTAAACAAGCAATAGTCCATCCATGACTCCCATTTCACTAATTGTGCCCAAAACAATGCCATCAGTGCTCTTTACTTAAACAGTAAGAGTGTAAACCAAATAAAAATATCACTCTCAAAAGCCAGAGCAGAAAACAAGTAGTCAGTTAACTAAATTGACCGCTACTCTTCCTACCCTCTGTGTATCTGCTGTCTGCATGCTGGCCTGGTGGATTGATAGTAAGAGCTGGAGCGGATCACTGGAATGGACTGCTTGACTCGCGGAGCGCTAGGCTGGCCGGAAAACCTGGAGCGGACTCCGTGAAAAACTGAATCGGAGTTCTTGGATCGGCATTTTTCCATGCAGTCCAATCCGATGCCGATGCCCGTTTTGCTAGTATCGGTGGCCGATACCAATCCGAATATCGGATCGGGACATCCCTAGCTTAATTCAGTGTTTTTACCAGTTTAAATCACCTCGTCTGTTTGATTTGGAGAGGAAGAGACCTCTGTGGATAATTCAACTCCTGGTAAAAACCTCCTGAACAATGAACACTGAAGGAATTCTAACCTGAAGAAGTTTCAGCTGGTTGCAATATGCAATCCTCACCACTAGATGCCACTAAATCCCCCTAAATTATACACACTGCTCCTTCAAACTATTAAACAATTATCAAAATTGTTGCAGATTAATTTTCTGTGGATCAGCTCATCAATTAATGAGCTATTGTCTTAGCTGTGGAACTTTATGATTAATAAATCTGAATTAATCACACACATCAATTTTTGCTGTGAAAGTATTTAAAAATTCAAATAAATGCTGTCAGATGTGTTGTAGTAAAGCTGCTGGATTTTGGACACAAATGTCAATCTGTCCTCTACCACCGAAACTGGTCTGCAGTCCATTGCGATCCATTTTGCAAGGGAGTTAGTTCGTTGATCACAAACATGTGTCTTAATGCCTGGTCGAGTGTAGCTTGACGAGGTTGGTTGCTAGCACTAGCATCAGAGGTTGTGCCAGCTCAGACATCCAGGTTCACTCATAATTGCTATGTGTTTAAGTGATATTTCAGGCTTGAAGTACTCCGACATGATAAAAATTAATCGTGGAAACTGCAACAGTTCCATTCCATTCACAGGGCCAGGCAGCTCTGTCTCTGACAAAGCCAGAGGCCAGTGGCCTTCAGTGACGCACCAAGGAACGGGATCAATCAGCGTTCATTTTTTTAACGTGTTATTTTTTCTGTAATTAATTAATTGAAGTTAACGTGTTATTTTGACAGCTCTAGTTTTATCATAAATATGAATACACTGCTCAGCCTGTGTGTCATACCTGATGCATATATTCTGTGTTATAACATGATCATATTAAATATTTCATCACAAGTTTCTGCTCTTTGAGTTCAGTGTGTGTGTGTGACTTACTAACCACTGTCTTCTGTGTGTCACAGGCTGAGGAAAGTGTGGCAGAAGAGAAAATGCACAGCGAAGAATGGATACCTCACCATATCACACGGCACAGTAAGTAAACAGTCACACTAGACAGACAGTGTGTATGTTTGTGCTGGTTAAAACAGTTGAGATGCCCATATGCATGCTTCACTTAGTCACACACATTAAAGTTTCATTGTCCGTCTCCCAAGCCAGTCATTATCTTCACCCGTTAAGAAAGCAGCAGAAAGCACAGGCTGAGTTAACATTCTCCTCACGGCGCCGCCTCAGCTGAGCCTCTTTTAACTTGAACTCTGTTTGTTCCCATATAAAGATTTAGCTGTGGCCCGGTCAGCTCCTCTCAGTAACGCAGCTTGTCTCACACGTAGCAGCTTATCAGATGTTTCATTTGGCTGCAGCAGCAGGCAGATATGGTTAAAGACAACACTCCTCCTCATTTATGTTGTTGTTGTTACCCTCCCTCCCTCCCTCCCTCTCTGCTCTCCATCTCTGTCTGTCTGACAGGCTAACCGGCCGCCAGCTAAACTCAACCTGCTCACCTGCCAGGTGAAACACAATCCTGAAGAGAAGAGAAGCTTCGACCTCATATCCCGTAAGTTTAGCCCCGTCTCTGTCTTCTCATTTTGTATGTCACCTTCCTTAACTTTTTTTCCCTAATCTTTATACGTTGCACTCAGATGCCTCATTTTAATTAGCTCCGTTCATGCAGACAGCAGCAGGTCATGATTTGTGGTGCTGCAGAGTGGATTTCAAATGTTTTTGTGTTTAGCACGCAGCAGCAAGCCAAGAATAAGCTGATTTCTTAAAACACATATTTACCCATCCAGGACATCTCAATCTAGCATTTAGTCTTAATCCTAGAGTGAAAGAACAGCAAACAAAAAGCTGAAATGATTGTGCTAATAACTGATTTGTCAACTGACAGATAATGAATCACCAACTGTTTTGCTTGTGATGGACATTTTCATTATTGATGATAATAAAAAAATCTGCAAATCAGTCGCTTAAGAAAAGAATCATTTACATTGTTTGTTGTTTCCTTAATAGTCCATTTCTCTCAAACAAATAAAGGGAACAGCATTTTTTAAAACTTTACACTCTGCAGATTTTTCTATAACAAATCAACAGATTTTTTCTTTTTGTGGCCGCACTGTGAGAGGTAACATAACTTTTTTTAAAAGGTGTTTTGTGGACATATTAAAAAAGCCTTTATGATAATAACATTAATGATTTACAGTACAATATATGGACGTGACCTCGATCATTTTGCTGACCTTGATATTGTTTACATAAGAATGTCACCAAGATTTTAGCTAACATGATGCCAGAATAAACAGCAGGGATTTCCCGAACATCATAAGACTTGGGTGCAGAGATTCTCCCTTTTTTCCCCTCCCTGTCTCCACATACTATCACAAGTCCAAAGAAAAATAAAACAACACCTCAAAGACGACACAGTGTAGTTTACTATATAGCCTGCAGCTGCACTTTTGGAGTTTAAGAGACACAGTCCTTATAGTCGTTAGCTTGCCAACGCCTGGCAACGAGCCTAAAAGTCTGTTGTTCTTCATCCTCCACCAGCAAACCTCCTTCCCCCAGGCCATCCATCCCTGGCAACACACTGGCTGGGGGTAAATGCGGCGTTCCTGGAGCTTTGCGAAGATTTTCTACTAGTCACATCACTCGTTTCCGTTGGCCAAATTTTGTGTGAAGTCTCAAACTGCCTAATTTTGGGCTCCTATAAATCGTCTTTTAACGATACCATAATTACTTTCTTGTATTTGTTACTGAGTGTGAATTACTTTTTTTTTCCCATATTTCCTTCAGCTCAACTCAACTCAAATTTATTTACAAAGCACATTTAAAAACAACTCACACTGACCAAGTGCACATAGGCAACAGAGGTAACAGAGGCAACATAACTGTCAGGTACACAGCTCACACATTTAGAGACACAACACACACACACACACACAGGCACACGTCAGAGAGAGCCACATCAGGGGGACTCAAACGCTAATGAATAAAGGTAGGTTTTGAGCCTGGAGTAAAGAGTCGGTGAAGGGGGTCGATCTGATTGGGAGGTGGATGCTGTTCCATAGGCACGATCACCCCTGAGCTTAAGTCTGGAGCGTGGGACAGCCAGGAGCCCCAGGTCAGCTGACCTGGGAGACCTCGGGGTAGATAAGGAGTCTGTGCAGAGGTCTGTGATGTAGCATGGCGCCAGACCATTAAGGGCTTTGTTAACACACAGGAGAACCTTAAAATCAATTGTGAACTTTACAGGCAGCCAGTGGAGGCAGCCAATGTCTGAATATTCTTAAGAATCAAAAGTCTGTCGCTCTTTGAAAAGGCGTACTGCGGCATAAAATTGCCTAAAAATGACAGTAATAGTATTTATTGCAGTTATTTTTGGGACAGTATACCGTACTTAAAACAAAGTTATTGTGACCGGCCTTTTATTAAGCCTTTTTATTACCAAGTTGACAGTGGAGAGATGACAGGAAGTAAAGAGGGAGAGAGGAGGGGTCATGACATACTACAAAGATTGTGGTTCACGGTTATTTAAGATTCGGTTAGTTTTTCCACACATAAGAGTTACTGACATTGAACTGGAGGGGCCACTGGAGACACAACGTGATTTAAGTTGCTTTGGATACAGCGGTGTAAAAATAGTTTTCCGTGGTTATTAGTGAGTGATTCACATCTGGAGACAGAAATAAAACTAAAAGAGGTTTTTTCTGTTCTGCAGTTTGACCTGTCAGCAGGATGCTTTAATACCAACTGCAGGAAGTTGCTCTGAGCTTTTTCCTCCATCTCCACTGCTCTTTGATTCATGTTCTCCTTACTTTCCTCTCCCACTTCTCTTTTCTGTTGTGTCATCCTTTCCTTTTTTCTTTCAGACGACAGAACATATCACTTTCAGGCCGAGGACGACCAGGACTGTCAGATGTAAGTGCTTGTTCCTTCCTTCCCTTTGTGTGTGTGTGTGTGTGTTCAGTCTTGTGCCTGAGTGCATCCTGTTTACCACCTCGGCCACTTTCCACACACTTCCTACCTCACACCCAGTCAGACGCTTGGCCTTGTCTTTACCTCCCACCTCCTGACTGTAACGGCCTTTCACTCCCCTCTTCTCTCCCCCCCCCCTTTTTTTTTACTTCCTCCGTTGCATTCTGCTTTGGCTGCTCCCATTCCCGCCTCACAACCTACTTTCTCCTCCTCCTCCCTCTTCTTCTCCTTCTTTCTCTGTCATTATTCACATTTTCATCTGCCTGACTCACCTCTCCTCCTGTCTCCTCTCCCCTCCTCTCCTCTCTCCTCCCTCGTCCAGCTGGATCTCGGTGCTACAGAACAGCAAAGAGGAGGCGCTGAATCAGGCCTTCAAAGGGGACCAGCATGTTGGAGAGAACAACATTGTTCAGGAGCTAACCAAGGCAATCCTGGGAGAGGTGAAGAGGATGACGGGAAATGACGTATGCTGTGACTGCGGAGCGCCTAGTGAGTAGCAAAGAATGACAGATGATTGACAGCGCAGAATGAAAACAAATTTTGTGATCTTTCAATGATTGCTGAGAAAAAGACCACACCAGGGTCTTTTTGTTTTTTTTAGCTGATTGCTGAGTGACATTTTTTCCAGAGCTTACAGCAAGTTTAAGACAGCCACCCACACCTGAGTTAGTCCACACGCAGAGGCACTTTTACAACCAGTGTTTCTGTAAAGTATTAAAAACTCTGAATGTTGCAGGTCAGGCTACGGCCTTAGATGCAAATCAAGTGCTTCACTACAGTTGGCAGCCACAGATAACTGTCAGCAGTTTGTCTCACCTGTTTCTTTTCCTCATCAGACTGCCAATTTAATGTCTGAAGCAGGGGTCGATGACTACACTGAGGACAGTGGCCTCGTTAGTGTCTGACATAGCCACCTCCTTTCAGTTTCCTCCACCCTTTTAGTGGTGAATAAATAAAATGGAAATTGAAGCATTCGAGGACTGATTTGGATGTTGATTACTATGGCAACAAAGCTTTGAAGCTCCAAAGCGTTCAGGTCAACCCTAATATGCTGTCTTAGTCTTAGCGACCACTCAAAGCGCTTCACACCACGGGTACCAGTCACCCCTTTCACACACACATATATACACAGGTGGTCAAGGCTACCATACATGGTGCCACCTGCTCATCAGATAATCATTCATGCATCTTTACTGTGTGCACATTTGTAGAAGACTGTTATATCTCCTGAGCCACAGCTGCCCTACATCACTGTGTGTAATAGGAGGTGTTGCAGAGATGTCAGCACTGATGATCACTTTGTTGCCCACACCTGTTTGATTCTGTCCTTTGAGTTCATTTGATACCTTTAGCCATCACATTGCAGTGGAAGGATATGTGCATTTCCAAATTGAGAGAGCTGTGCGCATCTTACTCACACCACAGCGGTGACTTCATTAATAATTTAAATCTGAAGACATCGAGAGAGGATCATGTGCTTTACATTCTACAGCCAGAAACCATGGATTACCAGAACCATTCACAAACATGGACTGTGATAAATCCGCAGCCAACAAAGTAATAAGATGCAAAAAGACTTAAGTGCACAAGTTATAGTAGCTGACAGCAGGGGCGTAAATATAGAAAGTGCAGGCAGTGCAATTGCACTCGGGCCACTGGGATGGAGGGGCCCGTAGAGAGAGCGGGTCCTTGCAAGTGATTCAGTTTGCCACCTTTGACATATACCTGTATTCAAAGATAAATGATGAAAAAAAGAATATTATTAATTGAAAAACACTGCCATTTGCTATGTATTTTCTCAAAGAGGCAAACCCATCTACATCAAGGTTTCTTTTTTTTAATAGTCAGTAGCTATTGAAAAGAAAACTACATACTTTTTCCATGTAAGCCATAAATTCTCTAAATATACTATAAAAAACTGTTCAATTAAATGATTTATTCTTTATTTCTTAGATGTTTTTGTCAGATATGCAGTGATGATTGCTGGGTAATATGTATGTTGATGTTGTCCAATGTCAAGTCTCTATTTGTGTCAAGACAATGCATGCACAATAGCGTGCACTAGGGCCTGTCATAACTTCCTTACGTTACTGGCTGATAGGATGACATTTCCGAAATTGAAATGTCAACTATGACCAATTCCACGTGACAAATAAATAAATTATTGTTTAATGAGGATCTAACAGTAATTATCCTCGGCTCTGTGGTTACGATCACATAAAATTTATGGTGAGAGGATCCCAGAATTCCTGGGAAAAGAGTGACATATTCTCTGCACATAGTGACCTTAAAATCACAGGAAATCCTTCAGCTTTACTCTGGGCTTCCTGAATGTGTAAGAAAACATCACCAACAATATGTACACTGCAGTGGATTATTTGAAGCATGTTTACAGACTCTGAAGTGAATGAACAGAAATGATTTGTTGCCTGGAAGGTAGGAAATCGGACTAAAAATGAGTGGTATGTTTTGGGAAAGTGTTAGCAGTGATTTATATGCATAGTTGGGAGTTGATGGGCTGGTTTGGTCTCGGTATGATCACTCTGTGGCTCAGAAAGTCCTGTAGACTGCATCCTCTGTATTTGGGAAGATATTCTGACATGTCCCCCAGTAATTTCTCTTAAATCCCATGAAATTTCATCCTCCAGACATGTATATACTTTAACATAATGTACATGTAATACACATACAGTATATCCACCAGCATATACAGTGAGTATCTAGGCCAGACGTTGCTACAGTACAGCTTGGTCACTTTCCTCTGACATTGTGTGCTGTGAGATAGTAAAAAGCCCTTCAGGCAGCTATTAAATTTCCAGAGCCCACAGCTTTTCACAAGGACACATCAAAGTTGGCTCACGTGCTGCAGAAATTACTTCAGCTTTATTGGTTTTCGCCCAAGGACAGCGTGTCACCCATATTCATTTCTCTCTTTTTTACCTCGTGCGTCATTTACCTCCTCTTCTCTGCATTCTCTTGACGTTTTTTTCTGTTCTCTCTCAGATCCAACGTGGCTGTCCACCAACCTGGGCATCCTCACCTGTATTGAATGTTCGGGGATCCACAGGGAGCTCGGAGTCCACTACTCCAGGATCCAGTCCCTCACTCTGGATGTACTCAGCACCTCAGAGCTCTTGGTAAATCACTTTTGGCGTCCATTTTCTCATTAAATCACCTCTCGTCTCTTCTGTTTTTGTCGAAGTTTGAGTCTCTTCATTGTATTGATTTTTGTCTGTACGAATCTCTGTGGAGATTTTTAGCCAGGATAAAACAGAGGAGAGGACAGATGGGAGTAGATACAGTGAAAAAGAATGAGGAGGAAACGAAATGAGGACAAAAGAGATAGTAAGTGGAGACAGGTAGGAAGGAGAGCATCACCCCAGGCCTCAGTCTCCTCCCCTCTCTCCTCCGAGACTTCTCCAAGAAGTCTCCACACTCAGAATAGCTGAGATTTTTTATGGCTTTCCTAATCACTGTTTGGTGTAGAGATTTACCGCCTGTGGGACGGTTGGGATTAAATACTTCCAGTCGTGATTGCTTTCCTCGGTGTCAAAGACGCCAGTCGTGTTAGCCACAATCAGAGGGGCGAGTTTTTAAGGCTCCACGCGCACAGCACTGCATGCTGAGGTGTGAGCAGAGCAGGCAAGGATGATGACTTTTAAATTAATGTATGTGGTGCAGAGAATGTCTAGTGTAACCATAATATATGTGTGTGTGTTTGTGTCCATGTGTGTGCTCCACAGCTGGCCAAGAATGTGGGGAATGCAGGCTTTAATGAAATCATGGAGGCCTGTTTAAGCGCTGAAAATGTGGTGAAACCCAACCCAGCCAGTGACATGTAAGTCACCCCAACAACGTCTCTCCTCCGCACTCTCCCCGTCCCCTCCTCTCTCTTCCATCCCTGGACTCTTGCTCTCTGTCTTCTCACTTGTATCGCATCTCACTCATCCGATCAACAACTGTTGACACCATCACTGTGACATATCAACACATTTGAACCAGCATTGTGCTGATCAGGTTTTAACGTACAATCAAACCCATTCACATAAAGACCGTAAATGACACAGCTGTAACTGAGCAGCCGCCTCTCCACATGTCTAACCAGGCAGGCGAGGAAAGACTTCATCACAGCCAAATACACAGAGAAACGCTTTGCCAGGAAGAAGTGTCCCGATGCGACGTCGCGGCTCCACACGTTGTGTGACGCAGTGAAGGCCCGGGACATCTTCTCCCTCATCCAGGTCTACGCCGAGGGAGTGGACCTCATGGAGCCCATACCTCTGGCCAACGGACATGTCAGTACACAAAATATTCAATCTGTGAAATGTTTGAAGCTGAGTCTGTCCTTCAGCGGTGACTTTGCAACTTTATCCCTGTTGCTTTTCCACCAGGAGTTCTCAACAATCTGTTGTATCCTTCTTGCTCTTCACCTTTTTTCATGGTTCTCTATAAACACCTCACAGTCCCAGGGGAATATGTGCAAATGTTTTATCTTTTTTTATTTCAGGAACAAGGAGAGACGGCGCTTCATCTCGCAGTCAGACTGGTGGATAGAACGTCTCTTCACATCGTCGACTTCCTCACTCAGAACAGGTAAACAAAGCTAGAAAACAACAGGTGAAGAAAGCTGGGAAATAACAGAGGACAGTACATTTGCACTTCACTTCAGTTATTTGTTCCGTGCAGAATTCAATATGCTGGAATGGTTTTTCTTTCTGTTCATCTGACTGTGCAGCAAACATTGAACACACCATTGTAAAAAGACACCACTTGTCTGATTGATGGCTCTTAACTCGGGCTAGTCGACCAATAGTCGTCATATAGGGCCATTAGTTGACTAGTCACCCGCATGTTTACGATATTAACGTAATTATTAAGTGATTTATTTTGAGCGGGGCAACGCAATGGTTTGTGTGAAGGTGTGAGAAAGAATAGTATCAGTAACATTGTTAACACTGTGCTACATTACAGAGAAATACAAAACCGTACTAATGAACCTTCATTAATATAGGCCTATATTTTATCTACAAGTGCACGTCACACACTGAGCGAGCCGCCTGTTAATGACGCTGTGGGCAAAGCAGTAATGATTGTGCTATGTGGCTAATGGGCATGTAGCTACTTCCATGTTTCAGATGATACGTCATGTTTGTAGTCGACCAATGAAGATGAGTTTACATATCACCTTGGGTTCATCCTTCACCTTCTCAAAATTATCCCACACTTTGGATTTCCTGCCCGACGTGTTATTAACTAGCCTGTGAAATAACCACAGGTACCAGCCCTGGAAATTAACGTGACTCCTGTCTGACTGCTCAGCGTGGCCACTCCCTGTGTCTGTCCTTTCAAATTAAATTCCCACATAGTCCAGTCATATAGGTTTTGATGTATTTTGACAAGGCGCAGCTCTTAATAGAGTTTCACTTTGTCTTATCTTTATTTCTTAAAGCAACCAATGAAATCTTGCCGACTAATGATCTTTCTGGTCGACTAACGTTTGGTGTACTATTAATGGGCAGCCCTACTCTTAACACTTGTAATTCATAGTCAAATATTTAGTTTTTTAACAGACCAATTTGCTGACAGGGGATATTATCCGCTGATTTCTCAGTTTTTCTCTCTTTAGAGTGAAGATATTTTGTATTTTTTTGTCTTTCTGTATCATAATACAATATTGAGTTTTGATTCCTACTTCCTAAAAACACAATAAACATAGTGTTTAAATATTTCACATATTACACAAATTCAAAACAACACTCTGGACAGACATTGTTGGGATTTAAAGTCCCCCCCCCCTGTCTGTTTCCCTCGGCAGTTTGAATTTGGACAAGCAGACGGCCAAAGGCAGCACAGCGCTGCACTACTGCTGCCTGACCGACAACAGCGAGTGTCTGAAGCTGCTGCTGCGGGGGAAGGCCTCCATAGAGATCGGTAAGGAAACACACACACAGTAGTGGTGCATTCACTGTCCAGCTCTTTCTTTCTCATTTCCTCTGTTTTTCTCACACCTTGTTTCATTTGTATTACTTTTGCTGAGGAAGCACGACGTTCACAAGTAAATTAATGTTTTGTCTCACTGCTTCATCCTCTCTCTCTGTCACACAGACACACAGACACACAGACACACACACACACACACACACATACACACACACACACACACACACACACCTTAGTCCAGGTCTTTCAGGTTCAGTTCCCAGAGGTGCTGGCTCTGCCAACGGACCATGGTAACTCTTTCTCACAACACTAATCTTTCTCCTCCGCCGTGACATCAACAAAACATCCAGATAATAGATACACAGAGAGAAGGAGGACAGAGAGAAACCAGAGAGCTGTTCAGTGTGGGAAACAGGCTAATTACACATTTCTCATGTCACAGTGAAATAGGAGGAAAGAAAACGGGCTGTGTGTTTGTGATCATGCGGCATGTGGATACAGTAGTGATTATACGTTTCTGTTGTTTTCCCTCGCAGCTAATGAGGCCGGGGAGACACCGCTGGATATCGCCCGGAGGCTTAAACACCTACAGTGTGAAGAGCTGGTGAGCTTACTATGCTTGGCTTATGACTGCAAATACACTTCGCTTCCTGAAGCCATGTGAAGAGCTGTCAGTCATTTGTGTTTACATGTGTGTGTAGTTGAACCAAGCGCTGGCAGGGAAATTCAACGCCCACGTCCATGTTGAATATGAATGGTGCCTGCAGCCTGAAGACTTGGATGAAAGTGACGAAGATCTGGATGAGAAGGTGAGAGACGCTTTGTAAGAAGAGTTTACAAAGAGCTCCAGGAGAAAACAAGAATAATAAAGTAAATAAAAATAACACATTCTGAAAGGGAAAATTCAGTGGAGGATGATGAAACCTGAAATAACAGCCTGGAGAATCCTAAATAATTTCTACGAATGGACATTTTCTTTTGTTTTGTTACTAATAAAAAAAAATAAAAAATATGGTGTCCTCCAAAAAGAAAAAGCTGAATTAATTATTCCGTTTGCACTTAAAAATGCATGCACTTCTCGCTCTCTGTGTTTTTGTGATGATGTTGTGAACTTGTACTGTAGCTTTTTTTTTTTTTTTTTTTTTTTTTCTCCTTTAAAAAAATGCATTTCCTTTAGTGACACTTCAGTGAATCTGGATATATTTGCCAGTTTGGATTCCCTGAGGCTCAGATGAGTGCAAGAAAGAAGAGCTACTTGTGTACTTTTTTTTGAAAATACCTCATTCAGTATTCGCCAGGAAGTTGTTTTTTTCCCAGAACAGTAATGCATTTTTAAAAACACAACTGTACAGCATACTTAGTTAACGGACACATGACCTACAGTATGTCTGACCCGTCACACTCTAACATGATCCTGCCCCTCCAGCCCAGCCCTCATCGCAGAGACGAGCGTCCGGTCAGCTGCTACACCCCGAGCAGCAACTCCCATCTCCAGGCCGGTTTGGGCTCTGCGGGCCGGGACGGCATCGGCCTCGTCAAGGACAAGCAGCGTGCCTACATGCCCAACCTGGTCAACAACGAGACATACGGCACCATCCTCAACGCCAGCCCGCCTCAGTCTGCAACAACCTCTGCTCCACCCCTGCCCCCGAGAAACCTGGGTAAGCTCAGACACAGCAGCATCAGAAGTATATGTCTCATCATAGTTTCATGAATATGTTAAAAATTTTAATGGATGAGTAGATGAAAAAGATCCAGCTAAACCTGACGACCTCTCTGACCTGAACCTGACCTCTTTGTCTTCCTCAGAGAGCTGATATTTATAAGATATGCCTCAAAGGGACAGTCTCATTTAGATCTACATCTGTGAGGGCCTAGTCTCATTTAGCCTGTATCACTGGTTCCCAAAGCCTGTATGTTAATTACTGTGCAGGGCTGAGTGACTCTTTGACCTGTTTTAACACCACAGCTGTCTCTGAGCACCGCAGCAGGGGAAAGTCACAGATGGACGGGCAGCTTTTCCAAAAAGTCGTCGCCCTCTTAAATATGTGAAGTTGGCCTCGTGCTTCAAGTGGTCTTAAATCTAAACGGCAGGATTTCTTTTTGTGTTGGAAATAAGTGTTTTAGGACGCCAAACTGGGGGCGGCAGTAGAGTCACCGGTTCAAGTGCCAGTTCACCTCCTGGGCATTGCCAAGGTGCCCTTGAGCAAAGCCCCAACCTCCCAACTGCTTGGGGTGCCCGTCCAAGGCAGCACCCTCGCTCTGACACCTCTCTGACACAATTGAACTTCCCCTCTGGGATTAATGAAGTGTATCTTCTTCTCTTCTTAAATTCGGTTTCATGAAAAAGGTTACCTGATTAAAAAAAACCTTAATTAATGAAAGTCTGTTTATGTGCTGCTCGTAAAAATCTTCATCATAGCTTTGCAGGCCAGCCGACTTGTGACAGTCCACCACAGTCGGTCTTTAATAACATTAGCGGCCGTCTGGAGCGCTGCCAACCGAGCAGAGGAGAAACAACAAGCTCTGTTGCCCACCTCGCCTCACCGCAGCCCGGCCCCAGCATTCTGCACATTCCCTCTCCCTATTAACTGTCACTCGCAATTACGCTCAAATAGAAATGGCTTGACTTTTAAAGTGGACGCTGGTTCTGGCAAAGTGCGGTACACTCTTCCTCTCTCTGTGTTTCTTTTTTTCATCAGATTAACCCTTCTCTGTCTCTGTCTCTCTGTCACAGTCCAGTTATCCGGTCTGGGGGGGATCGGTCAGTCTTCAGTGTCCAGCAGCTGGAAGCCCGGTTCTTTAGACTTGGTTGGCAGACAGAGGTCGTCTTCAGACCCCCCCAACATGCACCCTCCTGTCCCCCCCATGAGACTCACTTCAACTGGAGGTATGGACCCCAGCAGACCTAATCCTCCATCCTCCTTTAGCTGGACCACTGCTGCAGTGAAGGCATTTTAGTATAATGTAGTGTTTTAGATTCACAGCCTGTTTATGTTTTTAGTATTTACTGAATACTTTACTGTAAGAAGCCATTTAAATCAGGTGTCCCAGATCTTACAGTCACTAAGGAGCACACACTTTAAATTCTTTGCACGTGCTGAGTTGAGTGTTTATTTGCCAAATTAAAATCCAACAAATGACATAAACAGAAAAATTGAAATTGTGCCATGAGAAGAACAAAGCCCACAAGGGTTTATTAATTACATCTACCTAAATAATATGAAAACAAATCCACAATTTTGAAAGTATGAGCAGCACTTATTTGTACTATGAGAAATTAAATGTGTACAACAAATGATTGAGGACACCAACTGAAAACTACTTTCTGTAAAAAGAAGACAGCTGCACTACTTAACTGAGCAACAACTGTGGAATTGAACAAATAATACAACTCAGCGCTAATGAAAACACTCCCTCCATATGGGAGTAAAGTTACCAGTAGAAAGGTTTTGCAACAGAGCCCTCAAGCTGCTGACTGGCTATGTCTGCTCGGCACTCCAGACCTTAAATCACCATGTTATCAATGAGTAAGTGGGCACCACTGTGCTCAATCACCCACCACTCTGTAAGGAGGGGGAGGGCGGCACTTGGAGAGAGAATATATCTAATTATTATTATTATTATTACATATTTAAAATTATGGTACAGAATTGTTTGTTTTTCTTTTATTTATTTATTTTTAACTTATTTTCTTGTTTTTAATTTTCTCTTTTTACTAATTTCTTGCAATTTTTGGGGGGTCATTTCTTCTTTCGTTGCTCACTGACTTCCAGTCTAGAAATTCTGACTGTCCAATGGTGTGTTATGTTTGCCAAGGTATGAAAGAAAAAGCAGTCAGGGTGTGTTCCTGTGTTTCCCAGGTCTGGGTCCTCCTGTGGCGAAGATGGAGTCCATGGGCATACAGTCCAAGTCAAGCCAGGGGCCGCTGGGATCCAGAGCAGTACCACCTAAATCTCCTGCAGGGTAAGAGCAAAAGGGAAAAACACATTTTTTAAGATGTCTGCAACTATGAATTTAATGTTAACATGTTCAGAGTGTTTCAGCCTGCAGTCAGTGCTCAGAAGTGTTTTTGCAGCTTCATTAGCTGCCCAGGAAAACAATACATTCATATAATTCACTACACAGAGGCAGGGAGGCCGCGCTTTACCCCAGGGTTGTGTATCTTGCTTGTCTTGTAATGTGGTGTTTGTTTCCCAGGAGGAATGAGCCGATATGGCTGCTGTTTAGCCGCTTCATTAGCTCCCAGGCTGAGCTCTGCATCGAGCCAGACGAGCAGTAACTCTCCTCCGCAGTCGCCCTTTTGTCTTTTCGTCTCCCACAAGGCTGATAGTGCCGTAATAAATCTGTAACAGAGCTGTTAAGAGACTTAGAGAGCCGGACAGCTTTCTGTTAGATGTTTGTCTTTATATAACTCTGTTGATGAGACTACATTCTGTTTTTGTTTTACAGCAACGATAAAAGCTTCAACAGACCTCTTAATCGAACAGTGTCCATAGAAAGACCAGGTGAGTACACAGATAAGAGAGATAAAATACTCTGTGTCTGTCCACTGTGCGGAGAGTTACATTCACATTGTACTACTATCTGTTTCTTCTGTGGAAACGTGGAAAGTGTTGTTGTCCTTGTGATTTAATTTCCTCTTCCTGTTCCAGCTAAGGAAGTGCCAGGATGCCCCCAGAACTCCATAGGTCAGTCTCTGCCTCCAGCCCCCACGCCGAGGAAGGCCTACCCAGTGAGTCCCTCATTCTTCCTCTTATTATTATCCAGATACTGTCGATTGTGAAGTGCTTATTCATTCATGCTGTTGTACAGATTCACTGGCTGATGACTTTCCAAGTAATGGTTTGTTCCATTATTAGTGTTGTGCAGGTCAAACTATTGTCTCAGTGTTTCCAGTGACACTTAAGCAGTTAATTTTCCTTCCTGTCCTCCATCAGGCAAAAAGCTTCTGTTTTTTTTATTTTTTAAGGTGGAGGAAGAGCAGTTCATTCACAACTTTCTAGCCTGCAGTTATGAATAACTGTGATATTCATTTCAGGGTGCTTTCACACTTGTAGTTCGGTTCATTTGGTCACACCAGAGGGAAAAAATATACCTTGTTGAACTTAAGTTTTGGTTTGGTTCCTGTTCACACTGGCTTTTTGCAAATGAACCAAGAGAACTACATGAAGTTCTACCTATCATCAGGACCCACGTGGGGAAATCAAATTCCAGGGACTGACAGAGGTTTATGCAGCAGCACTTAAATTAGTGCTGCTGCTCTTTTTGAGCGGTCTCGGTTTGGTTGTTTGGTCCACACCAGGGTGCGACTGACAGCTTTTACACCAGCCCAAATCACCTGTTCCAACTACACAAACGCACCTGAGTTCATATGAAAGCACCCTTAGTTTTCAGTCAGTGGAGAATGCTAGGATTGACACAATGATTTCATTTAGATTTCGTGCCTCGGAGCTTCACTGATGACACATTATTACTGAGTGAATCAGTGGTTGTAAAGGTTTTATATCTGATACCTACAGCTGTTTTTCAAACGTAAGTCTTTGGCACAAATTAAATCAAAGTTACATTAAAATTTATGGTGCAAATTAATTAAGCAGTACAAAATAGAGAAAGCACAACAATAGAGATGGACCATATGACAAGTCAAACTTATGTGCATACTTCATATAGAGTTTCCATTGAGCTCTAAAAATAAATGGCACCTTATCCTCAGTATGTTGACCAATGATGAAGACAGCAGGTAACAAGAAGTCACTATATTTATAGAAGACAAAGGGCTCTACTTAAACCATTTATGGCGCATGGTCTAAAAGTGCATGGTGCAAGTGCATTTAAAGCATGTCCACTTTGCTCGTCAAACGGTGTATAATCTGGGTGCAAAGTAAGGGGCAAAGGGGTTGTATTTAGTCCCTTAAGTAGTTATAAGTGTGTGGGTGTAACATTTTAACCCATCGGAGTGTCGTCTCCCATTCCCTTTAAAAGCCAGGTGCACCTGGGGCGTCCGGTGGCCGAGTAGGTAGAGCAGGCATCCCATATACAGAGGCAATGTCCTTGCTGCAGCGACCATGGACTCGATTCCAGTCTGCGGCCCCCTGTCCCATCCAGTAAAGGCAAAAAGCCCCCAGAAAATCTTAAAAAGAATATAATAAAAAAAATGCCAGGTACGCCTGAACCTGGAGTATTGCTGCTTACATGACGGATTCAGCAAATCGGAGAAGCTAGCGGTTTTGTGCTGACAGTAATGCAGTAAGAGTAGTAATGTCACTGCAGCAAATATAATGGGACATTTATCTAGCAAAACTAAAAACTGTAGTTATAAACTCGACAAAGGAATAAAACTAAACTTAGCTTCTGAACTAATCAATGAAGTTACATTGCTACTGGTGCGTAAAAGCGCACAGCGTCTCTCTTACAGGGGGGTCAGACAGCAGCTCCGCTCTGCTCTCTGCTATAGTCACAGTTTAGAGAATGTAATTAATATTTTGTCATTAATGATGTTTTATTTCACCCATTCGTGTGTCCCTGTGTGTGTAACAAGCAGAGAGTACATGCATCTTACTATCTGAATAATGCAACCTTTTAATAGCAGAAGAATACTACACTATTCTGACTTTTGACCAGGTTGTTTGTTGGTCAATGGCACAGTCATTTTTGCTGTCTCAAAAAAAGCAGTGTGTCAGCAGTGCACCTGACCATACCTCATTTTAAGACCTACACGCCCGTGTGTGCACAGATGGGCGCAAGTACATTTGCTACCTGCACAACATGGTGGTCAGATCCTAACAATGACAGTTGTGCTGCCCTGTGTGCTGCTTTGCCTGGTGTGAGATAGGGCCCAAAATGTTTTTGGCCATTCAGTCTTTATAGCTTCAAATCATGAATGTGCCTCTAAGGGCTTTATAATCTGCACAGCATTTACACATTTAAGAGGAGGTTAAAAAACAGAACAATAGTAGAAGACGAGAGCTCCCGAGGAGTTTTGTCCTGTGTCTGTTTGGAGACTCTCACTGACTTCATCTTCTCTGTGTAACTTGGCCTTTGTTCCCGATAATAAAAAAAGATCCCAAGAGTATAAGACAAACAAAAAAGGCAAGACTGTGAGTCCTGACTGTGTTGCAGCATTTTCACCACTATTTTCTCTTGTGCACAAACTTGTGTGAACCTGTCTGTGTGCTTTTGTCCCGTCTCTCAGAAGCAGAGGCCGAAGCGAGTAAAAGCCATCTACAACTGTGTAGCCGACAACCCAGACGAGCTGACCTTCTCTGAGGGCGAGGTGATCATAGTGGACGGAGAGGAGGACCAGGAGTGGTGGGTCAGTATCTCCCACGCTGCACATCTGAGTGTTACGTGTGTCTTTGCATTTTGGATACTTGTTTTCAGATTAAAACACAAAGCGCTCCCAGTGCAGCCCGTGTCCCACTCTGGTCCCATTTTCACCATGTGGATGTCAGTGCACTCGGTAAACATGGTGGCTAAAGCAAAAAGCCATGACCTCATTCAGGCTGATATTCCCCCCCTCCTCCTCTTTTTCCGCCTGCTGCTGCTTCCTCTGTGGAGCCCCTTGTGTGAACGTCCACCAGCTGCAACTTGTTTTCCTCTGAGCCACCTCTGCAGATATGACCGTATTTAGTCACTCTCTCTCTGTCCCCTGCATGGACCCTAAAGATCCCCAGGGTCCCCACTATGCTTCCTCTCTGTCCCGCATACAGCAGCCTTATCACTCTGTGTGTGTGAAATATTAAAATGAAAGCACAGTAATGAGGCAGCACAAAAAGGGGATGAAGTCAGACGTCATGAGTTTCGCTGTGGTGCTTCGGTTGCAAGTTAAATTTGTCTCTTCACTGGAAAACAAGCTATAAAGTTGCATTTTTAATTTCTGAGTATAAAAATAATTCATAAGCAATGTAAAACAAACAACAGAAGGATGTTTTGCTGTTTGTAGAAGCTGTATTTATAACACAAGTTTTCCGTTTAGGCTGTATCAACAACTCTTATTATTCTGTTTTTATTTCACCATCGGCCTGTCATGTGTCACTTATAGCCTTGTGTGAACCTTGTTGGAGCAGAAACATGTCTTAGCTTTTTATTTTCAGGTATAGAAGACGTTTAAAATGACTTAAATGGACGTAATAAGTTCTGTCTTCTTTTTGGGCCAAGGTAATACAACGTGGGAATGTCATCTAAAGTATTATGTAGATGTTAATTGTGATTTAGTCTCTCATAGTCCACTGTGTGTACTCAGTTAGATGGTGTTTGGTAAGGCTAGATGTTGGCACTGATCTCCTGATTCATTTCAATTTGGATTTTATATAGTGCAGAAATATAAAAGCAGTTTTCAGTTTTTATCCTGAAAACGTTTTTTTTTTTTTTTTTTTTTTTGTATGTTGTAATAACTTGATTTTCATTGTGTAGACATTTTAGACATCTTGCATCTCTCACTGCACCTTTTTTTCAAGTCACGACAGTGTTCACATTTATGCATATTTGCTGAGAAGAGGCAGATCATATGGAATTCTGTTTAAGTCGATATGGAATAATAAATAAATAAATCTATTAAATAAATATGGCTATAAAAAAGTATTTCTGATTCTGATTCTGAAAATAATTCTTTAAAAAAAGAGGCAATAAATGAATAATTAAATAAATAAATATGGCTATGAAATAAATCCTAAAATAAATAAATATGCCTATTAAATGAATAATTCTGTCTGTAAAATAACCCTGAAATAAATAAGAGGCAATAAATAAATAAATAAACCTACAAAATAAATAAACATGGCAATGAAATAAATCCTAAAATAAATAAGAGGCAAGAAATAAATAAAAATGCCTGTAAAATGAATAATTTTATCTATAAAATAAATCCTGAAATAAATAAGAGGCAATAAATAAATAAATCCTGAAATAAATGTAAGAGGCAACAAATAAATAAACCTACAAAATAAATAAATATGGCAATAAAATAAATCCTGAAATAGATAAATGAGACAATAAATAAATGACTAAATAAATTTGCCTGTAAAATAAATAATTTTGTTTATAAAATAAATCCTGAAATAAATGTAAGAGGCAACAAATAAACCTACAAAATGAATAAACATGGCAATGAAATAAATCCTGAAATAAATAAATGAGGCAATAAATAAATAACTAAATAAATTTGCCTGTAAAATAAATAATTTTGTTTATAAAATAAATTCTGAAATGAATATAAGAGGCAACAAATAAATAAACCTACAAAATGAATAAACATGGCAAGGAAATAAATCTAAAATAAATAAGAGGCAATAAATAAATAAAAATGCCTGTAAAATGAATAATTTTATCTCTAAAATAAATCCTGAAATAAACAAGAGGCAATAAATAAATAGATAAACCTACAAAATAAATAAATATAGCTATGAAATAAATCATGAAATACAAAAATGTGTCAATATTGTTCAATAAATAAGTAAAAGGTTTTTATTTATTTAATAATTTTTAAAGACATTTTTATTTTAAAAAAAAAATGCCATATTTATTTTCCAGCTGTTTTTATTTTTCTTATCAGACTGTAGCAGTAGCACCAGAACATCACTGAATCACAGTCTCTTGGATATATTTTATATGTTTTTTCACATATAATATTGACTTAAATGGTGCTCCATACATTAGTCTTGTGGTTTTAAGAATCGATATTGAATTCTTTCAATAGCGATTAATCGGAACACCCAGCCTCAGTGTGTAGTGGTGTTTTAGTTTTGTGTATGTGCCCTAGATGACTTATTTTGTTTTAAGCAGTCAAACTGTTTAGAGTTCAGTGATATTACGCCCTCCTAATAGAACAAGACCCATCTTAACTAGCTGCCTCTTATCATCCTCTGACGTTGCTTCTGTCTTCCCTCTTCACAGCTGGGTCACATTGAAGGTGATCCGATGAGAAGAGGAGCCTTCCCGGTGACATTTGTACACTTCATCCCTGACTGAAAGCTTCCTCTCTGGGTCTCAGGAAGTGTCGCAGGATGCGGCGTCCCTCCTTCACCTGTCTCTATCCAAAACCAGCCAGCAAATCATCCAGCTTGGTCCCAGTGTTTGTTGTCGACATCATCACCTTCATCATCAGCGAGCTTCGTAAAGTGTCACTGCTGTATCGTCACCTCGGCTGCAACTTTGTGTGGGCGTCGGCGCGGCAACCGTAGCAGAAAGTCAGGGTGTCGCTCCTGGCAAGGCCTCGTGGGACTCTGAGTGGTTTTAATGCTTGCTGTTAATGTTTCTGACAAAGACTCCTAAGATTTAAAAACAATGATTGTAGTGAATGACCTCTCGCAATAAATGCACTTTGCTTGTCCTCACCCCTGTTACAAAACATCAGACGACATGTGACATAATGAAGGTTAATGTACAGTATTCATTTCATCCAAGTTCTGTTGAGCTGCGTTGTACAGATAGAACTGAAAAGGCTCCAGCAATGTATTTTAACTTACTTACAACTGTAAATGTGAACACAGTCAACATGCTTACGCGCCACCTCTGTGCATGAGCGATTTTAAATGCCTACCTGCTTATAGGTGCGACCTTTCAACCCTGGAGTAGGCCTCCTGTGTGGAGGCTTGTCTAATGGTGCTACGTTAACCCCTGCAATATGCTAGAAGCTGCACCCGAGGGAGCGCTTCCCTGTCCTCGTTTCAAAGACAGACAGACATTGAAAGGGGGCGACAATAATGTAAAAATAGCCTCCGACTCCTCACACCTGGGAGAAGCCGCTCGCTCACAGGTGTGTAGTGATGGAGCAGCTTTTCCACACACACACACACACACACTGCCTGTACTGTTTCATCGTAGAGGATTATATTCAACAGTCCTTCCTCCCGTGCAGTTAGAGGTTGGATGGTGACACTGACTGCAGCCAGTAATTACATTCATGCAGAGTCTGACACTTTGCGCTGTCATCTGCCTTATTAGAGGAACAGGAAGTGTGTGTGTGTGTGTGTGTGTGTGTGTGTGTGTGTGTGTGTGTGTGTGTGTGTGTGCGCAGAATAAGCTGAGACTGAAACAATATTGAAGTAAAGAAATAAAGAGGGCGTGGGAATGGAATGAAGAGCAGGAGTTAACTCTCTGACTAATGTTGCTTCCTCTTTTCTCTGTTCACAAATGAGTCTCTATCTCTAAAGAAATAGCCTTCCTGCAGCTTCAGCCTACTCCTATCTGTGCGTCTCTGGGGTCCCATGATGTAGAAAGATGAGTTTATCAATAGTGTTATGAAATAATTATCAAACATCCAATGTAATTAACTTCCTTTTGGTTGCAGAGCAACTTTCTCTCTGTTCATAATGTTGATATTTAGGCATTTAACCTGAAACCAGAGCCTTTCCGTGGATTTGTGAATGACGAGAAGAGAAGCGTGTGAATCGTACAGTAGCTCTCTTCATCACGTTTAATATGAACTCACTGGAAACAGGAAGATTTAATAATCTATTCGTGTAAATAGATTTGATTTTGTTGATATTTATATGTTTAAAAAAAAAGAAGACTTAACCTGGGCAGAAAATGTCTTTTAATGCGCTGTGGTGATGAGCAGATGCAACCTCAGCTGGACCTGTGTGTGCTGAAAACACAAATACACACACACACTTAACTGGGAAAATAAACTTAATTCATTCTTGTCAACTGTCTGTGGATCACTGCATCGACTCTTAACTCTGTTGTGCAAGTAAATGGGAAAACTGGAATAATAAAATATGAAGTAATACGAGGCTCTGGTCTGTTTCTTTACAGTATTGTGTTATGATTTATATGTTTAAACAGTAATGCCTACTTTTACTGAACGATTGCTGACAACACATCCTGTTTATTTTGGGATATTTCAGTCTCAAAACAACTGTTTATGGTAGTGACCTGCAGTTTAAAAATACAACATGTGGCTGGTGTGATTCTTGTCAAGCTGAAAGTCAGAAGATGCATCAAGAGCTCCCTCTGATGGGGAATGTTTCAGCATGTTAGCACCACAGTGTAAAAACACACATTGATATTGTGCTCCCATCTTTTTTTTTTTTTTTTTTTTTTTTTTTAACAAGTTTAAGATTAAGATCCAAGACTTTTTTATGCACTCAATAGATTCTTCTATTCCTCTCAAAGTTTGGTCACAAATTTGTTAAGATCAGTGTAAGTGGGCACTTCTTTTCATAGATAAGTCCATCCACCTGACAGGTGTGGCACATCAATGCTGATTGAATCGCATAATTAATATGCAGGTGTGCCTTGGGCTGGTCACTATAAAAGGCCACTCTGAAATGTGTAGTTTGAGCACACAACACAATGCTACAGATGTCCAAAGTTTGGAGGGAGCGTGCCAGTGGCGTGCAGACCGCAGGAATGTCCACCAGAGCTGTCATCTGTTAACTGAATGTTCATTTCTCTAGCATAAAATGTCTCCAATGTCGCTTTTCTTAATTTGGCAGTACATCCAACCGGCTTCACAATCATACAAGTTGGTTATGATGGCAAACTGCAGTCAGGTCAAGACCCTGGTGAGGATGATGAGCATGCAGATGAGTTTCCTTGAGATGGTTTGTGCAGAAATTATTTGGTTGTGCAAACGACTTATTCCATCAGCTGCCAGGTCGGATGGTCTCAGACAATCTTACAGGTGAAGACACTGGATATGGAAGTCCTAAGCTGGTGTGGTTGCACATGGTGTGCAGTTGTAAGGTGAGCCAGATGTAATGCCAAAGTTAGGGAAGACACTGGTGACCAGTGATGCTAGTGAAATAAACATTGAGTTCACAGGCAACAGCTTTGGTTGACATTCCTGCAGTCAGTATGCCAATGGAATGCACCCTCAAAACTTTGCTGCATTGTGTTGTGTGATAAAACTGCACATTTCAGAGTAGCCTTTAATTGTGACCACCCCAAGACACACCTGTGTAGTAACGGTGCTGTTTTATCAGCATCTTGTTAGTGTTAGGTTTAAATTTTTGTTCAGTGAGTTTCACCTGTCAGCCAAGCCAAAAAAAAGCATAATTAAAAGACAAAACATTTAAAAATGTATTCATAATTATATAATTATTATAATAAATATTTTTTTAATAGTTTCTTACCAATATAAAGTGTCTTTGAGTACTATGAGAAGTGCTCTATACATAAAATAAATGTTGTATGTACTGTGGAGGATTCAGATTGCAGCCAACTGTAACTTTGCCTGTATGCCAAGCTTGTAGGACAGTGATACAAATTTGCCCTTGATAAGGTGCTACATGGCCGGCTGAGCGTTTTCTTATTCACAATACAATTAAAATTCACTCACACTGGGAGTTCTTTGTACTTTGAATATTAATAAGGTGCTAGAGTTCATAAAAAGCATTAAAGTAGAGAATGTTTAGCCAAAAAAGTGTCAGGAGAGGATTCCCTGGCAGAGGCCCATGCAGAGAGAAAAAGGAGATGATCCACTTTAATCAGTATCGAAAATAAAATAAAGTCATCCACTCCATTATTGTAACAGATTAAAATTCTTTATTTTAATTCAAGTGACACATCTTAAACTCAGTCTTAACAGGACCATGTTGAAAAGGAGGACAGGGAAAAAGGGGGAACGGGCTATTATTATGTACAAGGTGAAGTCAAGTTAAGTACCGTGACTGTAAACACATTTTTCCTCCATAAGTCTGATGGATTTAATTTATATTTCAACACTACATAAAAACAAGGAGAAATCAGAAAACACATCAAGCTTTTGGTACCAAGAATCTTGCAGTATAAAGAACTTTAAAAAGATACAATAAAAGTAAAAAAAACTGAGTAAAATCGCACAAATTAAAAAAGTAAGACTCCTCTCAGGCAGTTAAAGCATCTTTGTGTACCTTCAAATCCAAAAAGTGACTACTGTTGTACCAGTATTTAATTTCAGAAGAGATCTGAGTGGTTTCCATGCTGAGAGAAACAAACTGTGGTCAAATAAGTGTACCATGTAGCTTCTCCACTGATGGATGTCTCCCATGAGTTGTCACATGCTGACACGGCTGGGTGGAGATGGGTTATGTACTATGTTCTACCATTATTTGCATTGAATATGACTTACATTCTGAAACCATCTCCCTTTTTTCTAAACTTTGCTTATTTGACTTCATGTGAAAGGTCAAAGGAACATGTGAGGTAAGGGAAATTCTCAAAGGAAATGATTCAGATAAATGCAGTCGTTCTGTCTCAACTGGAAAATGATGGGAAGGTGATACTGTGTGTCACAAACTGAGCGGGATGTGACTTTCCCATCAGTACAAAGGCTTGAATCATGCTTTCCTTGAGACTAACCTCCAGTTAATCTCAATTAAACAAAGCAAAGTTGGAGAAAGGGGAAATGGTTGCTGTTTTTGGCAATCCGCAGATTTTCTGTTGCTGGTTTTGCAGTTGTTTCATCTCTCTTCTGGACAGATCTCAGCTCCCGTCGTCCTCTCTGCTCTCAGGACTTGTCTGATGTCAGAGCGCAATCAAAGGAAGCCGACAGCACCTTGCAGATGGCTTGAGCCTGCTCCTGTTCAGATAGATGAGAGAGAACACTCAGGGAAAAAACTAAAATCCAGAAAACTGTTTCATGTTATACTTTGGTCACACTCACCGAGCTGCTGCACTGGTACACCCAGATGCTGCACTCCTCTTGCTTTGCATCGGTGGTTTTGAGAGCCAGGAGGTTCTTCCCTGCGCCCAGGCCATCATCGTAACACAGCATGCGCACTATCAGGTACAGAGGGTGTCGGTGCAGCACATCCTGGACCAGAGGTACGATCAACAGCACTTTGTTACTGACTCTACATCAAGCTCACATTTCTCTGTTTGTATTACATGGTTAACACGATTCGTTGCTGACTTTCAACCAGCTTTATGTCATAACAATATGGGAAGTGTGTGTAAATGAAATGTGATAAACTTCACAGATCTCCCTGCTTAAATCTTTGACTCTGGTTCTAGGGCTGTTGCTTCAACTACAGGTTGTACTTCCACACTTTTGTTAGGGCTATCAAATGAAGGCTGGGACATGGTGTTTGACCCCAAGACAACTATGGGGTATGAGACATGAGCAACGTAACTGCAGCTGTGATGTTGCAGGGTTACAGTTGACTGCACAAGAAATGCGCTCAACGTTTTTTCGGCATTTGTTTATGGTCCTTTATTAAGACCATAAACAAGAGAGGTCTTTTATTATTACCCTTTCAGTAAATCATTGATTCATTTACTTATTATCTGTAACTGCCTTCCTGATACAGTGTTGTGTGGGGTTGGAACCTATCCCAGCTGGCACTGGGGGAGAGGTGGAGTACACCCTGGAAAGGTCACCAGACTATCACAGGGCTGACACGTAGAGACAGACAACCATTCACGCTCACATTCACAGGAAGCAGGAGTACCCCATGCCGACACAGGGAGAACATACAAACTCCACTGAAGGGAGGCACGGTGGTGTACTGTTCTGCATAGCAAGAGGGTTCCAGGTTCCCATATCAAAATATTTTTTGACCCAAAGTTGACTGCCTCTGTGAAAGGAATTAATAGTCCCCATGTTCTATGACTACTACGCCAGCTGTTTAGCCTTTCAGCAAGTGCAGACCAGATTTTACTGTGCATGTGTTGTACCCCAACAGTATGGCACGTTCTGACACCTTGAGTTTTCCTCTTTTTAACCTCCTTTGTTTTCATAAGTGTGCCACCAAGGACACAAAGAGTACAGAGAGACGCCCCTCTCATTCTCCTTCTATAAAACTCAGATCAAACTGTAAAACCAGGCAGTGCTGATCAAATATAAACCAAGATTCTGTTACTGTATTGCCTATTTTCAAACCTCAAATGTCTATAGAAACATATTTTAGTGCACTGTTTAGCTGTAATAGGAGAGTTCGTGAACAGGAAGCGCCATACTGTTTCCTGTATTCTAAAAACAGAGGCTGAAAAAATTGAGTTCAAATGGTAAAACTAAGCAGTGCTGATAAAATACGAGCCAAGATTCTGTTACTGCGTTGCCTATTTTTGCCTAAAATGTTTTCAGTAACGTATTTTAACTTACTGTTGAACTGTAATTCGAGAAAACAAACTAGCTCGCATTACGTCACCAACCAGCAGGGGTGTTTATTGGTCCAGTGTGGTGCAGTGCATTCTGGTGGTTTTAGGTTATCTTTTCTTTTCTTTTTTTTCTTAAGATATTTTTTGGGGCATTTTTTAACTTTTTATTTGATAGGACAGACAAGTGTGAAAGGGGAAGAGAGAGAGGGAGTGACATGCAGCAAAGGGCCACAGGCTGGAGTCGAACCCAGGCCACTGCGGCAACAGCCTTGTACATGGGGCGCCTGCTCTACCACTAAGCCACGACGCCCCGGTTTTAGGTTTTCTACCCCTTGAGCTAATGACACAGTCCCTTTTCTCTGGTCATGTTTAAAAGTATCTGCGTCTTTCTGCTACATAGACAGCCCAGTTTTATGAAAACAGTATCTCTCCAGCAGTGAAATACTTCTTTAAGACAGATAATCAACATCGATCAATGTGGCTTCAGAGGTAAATCTCTGTGTAGCACTATCTCAGAGATATACACCAAACATAAAGGGAATTTCTGAAAACTCTTGTGTCAGCAGCTTTGCACAGAAACTATAAACTGATGCTGAATTCATAACCGTGCTGCTCGGCTGTATTGATGACACAGTAATACTGCACAGTCTAATCAATGAGCATTCAATCTCAAGTACAGTATATCACTTTATCAGCTGCTTTTCTACTCACACACTGGTCCAGTGAGGCCACTTTGACTCCGTACTTTGACACTCCCAGGATCATCTCCTCGTCTCCGGGCACGAAGGGCAGCTTTCCATCTTGCTGTGAAAAGAAGCAGAATATTTATTTATAGCGTCTTCATAAATGAATGATGCGATATTGACTGCCTGGAGTGACTGCGAGAGCCAATCATTGCTACTTGAAGTGTGTCCCTTCAGCTTCCTACCTGAGCAGCATCTATATAGTTGATGAGGTCCAGAGGCTCCTGGAGGGTCTTGCTCATGTCAAACTGTAACTTCTCAATGGCTCCAACATATTTCACCCGAAACTCAGCGCATGTTTCAGACGTGCTGTTACCTTTATGCAGAGGGCACACATCAAATAATCAGTTAGAAAATAAAAGGTGGAGGTCAACATTGTCGACTGTCATGAGTTAGCTGACTAACCTGAGCTCTTGGTGGAGTCTGTGTCGAGGCTGGCGACAGTGCTGGATCTGGAGAGCCCTCCCAAACTGGAGTCCACAGACTACATGGAGTCAGAAACACAAGAGGGTGTTGGCTCAACAAGGGTAAAGTGGCTTTGTCATAAAATTTATGTGTGTGTGGTTGTGTTGCTGTACTTTGCTTTTGGTGCTGATCTCACTGCTTTGCGAGCTGCTGCTGCTGTGGCGCTTTTTGACTTTCCGGAACATCTTTCACCATGACGACCACATCCAGCCCTCCAGCCTCACCAAACCTGAATCGTCACAGACCTCAGTGTTAAACACACCGCAGAACTCTCTCTTCAAATGTTAATAGAGATGATTAATGACTGAATGTAGAACATAGCATAGTCTAAATTCTAAATAATGGATAAATAAGAGTGTTGACCTTCAGCTACATAATCCCATTGTTACTGTGACAACTGCACAGCTATTCACATTATAGGAGTGTTAGTTATTCAGGAAGTCTCGTTAAAAGGTAACATTGGACCTGTTTTCACATTTTGCATCTAAGTGACTAATGGGAACAACAATTTTTGAAACTGGTCCAGTACTGAGTGAGAGAGCTGCAGCTGACAGCCACAAAATAATCTTCAGTGTAACCACTTGGGGCATTTGTACACCATGAATTTATGTCCAATGAAAGAGCTTGTTTTTGCCACTTACAGGCTCACTTGACAACATTATGGAAAGGATCCCTACAGAGATAAACCTTTTTGTTAATGAGAAAGATCCTTTCAGTGTACCCAGAAATAGTCCTGAAATCCCTTCTGCCACACCCACCAGAGTCAGCACATTTTCACATCTAACTGGGTGAATTAAGGGTTAATTTAGACAGAACCAGAGTTGGTGATTGTGAGAACAATGGAGAGATAAACCACGATGTCTTTTGTGAGTATTATTTTTTGTCAACTTTGAATGAAGTGTGTTTTACAAGAATATAATTACTGTTTATTTAAATAAAGTCTGGTGACTTTGGCAATGGTGATTTTGAGGCTGTTTCTGGTTAAACAAAAAGCATTTTACCTTAAATAAAATAGTCTATAAAGAGATCCTTTTCAAAATGTTGACAGACACCTAGAATAATAATCTGAGCCTGTCAGTGGCAAACACAAGCACTTTTAGTGGATGTAAATTGATGTTGCCAAATGCCCCAAGTGGTTACACTGCAGCCTGTCTCGCAGCTGCCAGCTGCAGCGCTCTCTCTCTCAATACTGGACCAATTTCAAAAATTGTTGTTTCCATTAGTTACTGCACAAAATCATGGGTAAATAGGGACCAGGTTGAAAAATTCTGAAGCCACCCTTTTATATCGACATCTCTTTTGCAAGAGAGACCTGAGAACAACATAAGCAGTCATCACATACACAGAGAAATCTAGACTATTTAAATGGATAACGTTTATGTTTGTGAGCACATTTTATTTTCTTAGACAATCTACCCACCTGACAGGTGTGGCAGTAAAATGTGCAGTTGTATCACACAACACAATGTCACAGATGTTGGAAATTTAGAGGGAGCGTGCCAATGACATGCTGACTGCAGTAATGTCTACCAGAGCTGTTGCCCATGAACTGAATGTTCATTTCACTACCATAAACCATCTCCAATGTTGTTTCTGTGAATTTGGCAGTACATCCAACCAGCCTCATGACTGCAGACCACATGTAGCCACACCAGCTCAAAACCTCCACATCTCCACACCTGCAAAATCGTCTCAGACCAGCCACACTAACAAGTGATGCAACAATTGGCTTGCACAACCAAACAATTTCTGCACAAACCATGGGAAGTGTATCTGCATGCTCATCTTACACACCAGGGTCTTTACCTGACAGCAGTTTGCCATTATGACTGACCTGTGCTATTGTGAAGCCGGTTGGATGTACTGCCAAATTAAGAGAAACAACTTTGGAGATGGTAGTGAAATGAACACATTTTAGTGTGGCCTTTAATTGTGGTCACCCCAAGGCACACCTGTGTAGTAATGATGCTGTGTAATCAGTATCTCTTAGTATTAAATAAATGTTGAGACTTTGTCAGAGGTGTTGATTCATACCAACTTATATGCTGGTAATTTCAAAGGCTGTAGTTTGTGTAAATGAGTAACTACTAGTAAAATTACACAGTGGCATCATTTTAAATGGAAACCAGTTTGTCTGTTACACCTGCTGCTGTAACTATACCTTCCGCCTCCATCATGTCAGAGCCAAATATTACTGCAGGTCTTTGTGATGGAGTCGGAGGGTGTATGTGTAACGGGGTGAGGTCAGGGGGCATAAAATATTTAAAACTGAATCAACAGGTTAGCTTGAATACATAATTTATCTAGCTAACTAAATACACGCTAAGCAGAAAACACCGCTCGTTAGCTTTAAGATATAGTACATGCTAACATAAAAGCAAAGGTTTGGATGAAACTCATTCTACTCCACCTTAAATGTCCCCACCGCATTTATTTTCACACTAAGTTAAAAAGCGAGGACTTTCACAGTTGGCTGGCAAATACACGCAATATATTCAACAAGTATACAAGCAAAACCTGTTGGTATCGTGACCCATTTCAATATTAATTTTCTATAAAGCAGCTTTCTGTTTACCTTCAGTTTGACTCTTCAGCTTCCCTTTGAGTTTCACAGCCTACACCCAACACCACTTAAAGGGGACGCGACCAAGCACTCGCCCAAAAGAAGTAGCTCTAAAGTTGAATATTGAGCCGACTATCCTGTGGATAATATGTTTTATTAAGCGTCTACAACGGTTAAAGAAAAATGTTTTGATATATTTATGGTTATCGTGTTCCTTTTAACATTTTATTAATGTGAATTTGTAACCGTAACAAACGGCCAACGGCTATCCCGGAACGCTTAGTGTGTTGACCGCTTTTGATTTCTCGTCGGCTGTGTTTTGGCACACCACCGGAAGTGTGACGCCACTAAAAGCCGCCCCCTCTCTCATTCATTCAGTAAACATGATTTCTTCTATTTTTATTATTACCTGCAGCATTTAACACACAATGGCGACAAAACGCAAAGTAGAGGTGATTGTCCCTGCAGAGGAGAGTGACCAGCTGCTTATCCGTCCACTGTGAGTTCATGTTTTTATTAGTAACTACCTCTATATGTATCCATTATAACAAGAATTAAATGTAACGTTAGCTCAAACGCTATTTTCTTATGTGATTACAGGGGTGCTGGTCAGGAGGTTGGGAGGTCATGCATCATCCTGGAGTTCAAAGGAAGGAAAATTATGGTAGATATTTTTGTCTTGACTCTGACTGCATGCTGCTGTGTGATTTCAGACAAATTTATATGCACCTCACTCTAAAAATAAATTAAAATTGCTAACAATATTCCTCAACCAAATAAAGGACTGTTCGCTACTTATCAGAGTAGGGGGAAGCTGGGGTGTGATTTATTATTGTTATTATTAATAGTAGTAGTTAGTAGTAGTAGTAGTACCAGTATTATCTTAGTCCTCAGAGCTACAAATATTTTTCCCCGAGCCTCCCTGAATGCCTGGGGGGACAAGCCCTCATTCCACCATAAATAAACTTTTATTTTCTTTTTTTTAATATTCACACTAAATGTAGGTATTAGAGTCAATGCAATTAGCCAACAGCACAGAGGGCGTGAGAGTTATCACTGAAACAACCAGTGAATTTCTTAAGCAATATGCAAATCTGCCTAACAAGTCACATCATCACACAAGTTGCAGCAGCAGCTAGAGAAAATCCTGGGGCTGTATTCACAAATATTCTGAGAATCCTCTCAGAGAGCTCCTAACTTAGCCTAAAAAAAATTAAATAAGAAATCCTAGCTTTGGAGTGATTTAGGAAAGTTCAGAGCAACTCTGAGTAAGGAAGGGACAGAAACTTTTACCTTCAAGTGAGGAGGTGTGGTTGAACCCGTTGCTAGGTCTGATGCTTTCTTTTAACATATGTGATTGGTTGTCACAGACACACCCTTTTTGAGTCTAAAGTCATCACTGCTGCAGTGTTCCAGTTTTTCAAATATCTTACTGTTGTGATTTTTTTGTTTATGGCGTTATATCATTATTACGTTAGGTGGGAAATGCGTGCGTACCCCTAATGAGATCGACCACAAATTTTATCCTTGCAAGATCTAATCTGTGGCATTTCATTTAGTCACAGTCATCCAGCGTTTGGAGAATATTTCTCCTATCTCTTTGTCTTTCCACCATTTTCTCCTTTGATTAATAAACTCCTAACCCTCTTAAAAGTCATCCTCCCTGCTCCTAACAGTTTTTCACCTTAGGAAGTCATTTAAGGTCTAAGATGCTCTGTGAATAACTTTTATCTTTACAAGGACCTAGTCTGAATTTAACAGTACATTCCTGGTGAAAATTTAAATGAGACATAGAGTAAAGTGATTTTCATAATATCCCTGTTTTAAGGTTAGATTTGGTTATGTCTCCTGACAGAAGCATTTGTCACACATGATGTTTTTAAGAGTTTAAGTTTGACAGTCAGAGGATAATTTCATTTTTCACAGTTTCTGGCTATGATAAATGGTTTAATTTTGGTGTTTTTTAAAGAAAATGTGCCTTTCAAATATGCTGGCAGGGTTTGGAGTTTAGAGAGTATTAAATAAATACAAAATACAACCATTTAAAGAAGAAGAAGAAGCTTTATTGTCATTGTACACACGATACAACGAAACTTTGTTTGGCAGCAATTCCTGTAGCAGCTACCGTATATCGAGTGTCTTAAATAAAATGAAAAAAAAATAAAATAAAATCAAGTTGTATGTCCCTCACCCAAGCTATAATAAAAAACAGATGTTACTCCCCAGAGCTTACAAAAAGGTTTGACGTGCGTTTTGCACCACCTCCTCCTTATAAATAAATAACAGTCCCTAATGCAGCTATATTATATGACAGCAATAACTACAAGACATGTAATTTTATGTTCTTCTTCTTTGTGCAGGCCCTAATGTGCAAGTTGTTTTATTTTATGTGTTCTAATCATTCTGTTGTTGTTTTATTGAGTCCTGTGTTGACTTGGTGTACCCAGGACTCCCTGGAAAGCAGCAGTGATACTGAGTGCATTATCCTGGGTGAAATAAATACAGTAATACTTGTGTTTTGCAGCTGGACTGTGGTATCCACCCTGGTTTGGAGGGAATGGATGCTCTCCCCTACATAGACTTGATCGACCCAGCTGAGATAGACCTGCTGCTCATCAGCCAGTGAGTCTTGAACTGTCTCTTTCATGTGTTGAATATTGTATTTTTTATAACCTCACAACCACATCTGTAATTTCCTTACTAAGGCATGTTCTGCTTATATACTATTTGGATTATATTCTATAACATAACTAAGGGTATTTAATGTCCATTCATGTATCCTCTCACCAGTTTCCACTTGGATCACTGTGGAGCTCTGCCCTGGTTCCTCCAGAAGACCAGCTTTAAAGGCAGGACCTTCATGACCCACGCCACCAAGGCCATCTACCGCTGGCTACTGTCGGACTACGTCAAAGTCAGGTAGAAGCAGGAACAGTCGCCTTTATGGAACACCTCCAAATGAATAATGCACCTACAGTAATTTAATCGTTGATTTATTGCAGCAACATTTCTGCAGATGACATGCTGTACACTGAGACTGATCTGGAGGAGAGCATGGATAAGATTGAGACCATCAACTTCCACGAGGTGAAGGAGGTGGCTGGAATCAAGTTCTGGTGCTATCACGCTGGTCATGTGCTGGGAGCTGCCATGTTCATGATCGAAATAGCTGGAGTCAAGGTAACAACTCGTGTGTTTTGTTTCAGAGTCCCGTTGATGCATAAAAGCTAAGCTTACTTAACCAGTCCATCATTGGTCTGTTTTTTCCTCTCTGAAGCTGCTGTACACGGGAGACTTCTCCCGACAGGAGGACAGACATCTGATGGCAGCTGAGATCCCAAGTGTCAAACCTGACATCTTAATCATAGTATGCCACATAATAATTCCCTTTGAACGCTATTTTAAAAGAATTTTAAGTGATCACAACATGATTAATCCTGTTATTCTTCCTGCAGGAGTCGACCTACGGAACCCACATCCATGAGAAGAGGGAGGAGCGCGAAGCTCGGTTCTGCAACACAGTCCATGACATCGTTAACAGAGAGGGTCGCTGTTTAATCCCTGTGTTTGCCCTGGGGCGCGCCCAGGAACTGCTGCTCATCCTGGGTGAGAGGTTATACATTTTTATCTCATTTAAAAGGCAAAGAACCTTTATGTAATTGGCTATCTGATGATTTTTTGTATTTCTGTTTCATGTTCACCTGTAGACGAGTACTGGCAGAACCACCCAGAGCTCCATGACATCCCCATCTACTACGCTTCATCCCTGGCCAAGAAGTGCATGGCTGTGTACCAGACCTACGTCAATGCAATGAACGACAAGATCCGCAAGGCGATCAACATCAACAACCCTTTTGTCTTCAAACACATCAGCAACCTCAAGGTAGAAAGCTCTACTGATACATTATATCTGTCTTCAGGCTGTATCATCAGGGTGAAGCTGAATATCAATAACTGTGGTGGCTGTGTGTTTTCTTCCAGAGCATGGATCACTTTGATGACATCGGTCCCAGTGTGGTGATGGCGTCTCCAGGTATGATGCAGAGCGGGCTGTCCAGAGAGCTCTTCGAGAGCTGGTGCACCGATAAGAGGAACGGAGTCATCATCGCTGGATACTGTGTGGAGGGCACACTGGCCAAGGTCAGACGACAACAGGATGGTAGATGGGGTTTAAAGTAGAAAGTCTTTTTTTGTCATTGTGCAGAATACAAGGAAATCAGGAGTGCTACTCCTTATCAGTGCAATAAAAGACACAGGAAGACACCAAAAATAAACAAAAAAACCCAAAACACCTTCAGCAAACAAACAAGCTGATAGCACAAATAAGTAAATACACTGTAATTATTGCGCTACAATAGGAGTATTTATTGCACCAGAATAAATATAATTATTGTACTAGAATACATGTAATTATTGCCCTAAATACATGTTAATATTGCGTTAAAATAAATGTATTTATTGCAGTAGAATATATTAATATTGCACTAAAATAAATGTAATATTGCACCAGAATAACTGTAATTATTGCATTAGAATGAATGTATTTATTGCAGTAGAATAATATAATTATTTCAATAGAATAAATATAATTTCTGCAGTAGAAAAAAATGTAATTATTGCACTAGAGTACTTGTAATTATTGAACTTGAATTATATAATTATTGCACTAGAATAAATGTTATAATTGCACTAGAATTAATAAAATTATTGTACCAGAATGATTGTATTTATTGCACTAAAATAAATATAATTATTGCACTAGGATAGATATAGTTATTACACAAGATCCAGTAGATTTGCCCTTAAGAGAGCTCTAATAATAGACAGATATGTCTAGTTTCTTGGATAACAGTGCCATCATTTATATACATTTTAATTCAGATGTGCCTGTTGAAACAATGAATGTATAATTACAGCAGCTTACTGTGGTGTGTTGTGTTCTCTCTCTGCAGCACATCATGTCTGAGCCAGAGGAGATCACCACCATGTCAGGGCAGAAGCTGCAGCTGAAGATGTCAGTGGACTACATCTCTTTCTCTGCCCACACTGACTACCAGCAGACCAGCGAGTTCATCAGAGCCCTCAAACCACCTCATGTGGTAGGAGGGAAAAAAACATTGATTTATCTGTGTGTAAAATTCACAGTTGTCTGCACCCTTCAGTTAGGAAAATCCTTGACTCTCCTGTTTGTGTTATTGTCAGATCCTGGTCCACGGGGAGCAGAATGAGATGGCCCGTCTGAAGGCTGCGCTGATCAGGGAGTACGAGGATAACGACCAGGTTCACATCGAAGTCCACAACCCTCGCAACACAGAGGCTGTCACCCTCAACTTCAGGGGAGAGAAACTGGCCAAGGTCGATAAACTGTCTGTCTGTCTGACTCTGTGCTCGTGTTTTTACAAATGTTAAACACATAAATAAATCCAGTCTGAGACCTGAGGGAAGTTAACAACCGCTCCTCCTCTCAGGTGATGGGCTCTCTGGCTGATAAGAAGTGTGCGCAGGGCCAGAGGGTGTCAGGCATACTGGTGAAAAAGAACTTCAACTACCACATCCTTAATCCCTCCGACCTTTCTAGTAAGTATTTATTTTGTATTTCTCCAAACTGTCCCACCTGCAGGCCGCAGTATAGGACCACCTGTGTGTTAGCAGTACACCCCAGTAGAGTCAGTTAGTCAGAAACTGTCTTTTGGTTGCCTGCTGTCAGCAACAGAGCAGCTACACAGATATGTGTTACATGTTTGTTCTGTTTAGGCCCTGTTTACACGTATATAGATGTTTTTGATGTTCTCCCGCCATTTAAAACAAAATTCTGTCCACACGACTTTGTTTCACAAAATATCTCTGTCCATTACTCTCCCTCTGTCCTCTATTCATTTTTACACACTGCTGCTGCTTCTTGTTATATCTGACAAACAAATAAGGCATCATGAGTTGACCTGATGCGTGTGTTCTGCAGCATACACAGAGCTGGCCATGAGCACAGTGAAACAGACCCAGGCCATCCCCTTCACTGGACCTTACTCACTGCTTGTCTGCCATCTGAGGAACCTCACTGGTAAGGCCGCCATATTTGTGTACACCGGCAAACATTCTTGGCTTTTGTTCATCTATGCAGAGGCAACCACCTTCTTCTCTTCCCTCAGGTGACGTGGAGGAGCTTGACGGAACCGAGAAGAACACCTTGAGGATTTTTAAAAACATCACTCTGATCCACGAGGTCGGCATGGTGCTGCTGGAGGTGAGGGGTCAGGCAGGATCACGACACTTGGCTTTCTTTAGACTGGCTCATTTACCCAACCACCCTTTCTCTTTATGTCCTGTTTCAGTGGCTAGCAAACCCTCTCAATGACATGTACGCCGACGCCGTCACCACTGTAGTGCTGGAGGTCCAGTCAAACCCAAAGGCTCAGAAAGGTCAGTCTGGAAATCAGCTGTGTATGCTGTCTACATGGATCTTTAATTTTGAATGCATCTTGGACTGTGGGAATGACACAAAAATTAAATTAAATAAATAAATTATGTTTCATTTATCACCTGAAAATAACAGTTGTCATATATTCATTACCTTAGATTGAGCCATTTATATCTACATAGGGAGAGGGTCCTCATCCACAGAGACTGACATGTTTCTACAGTAGCCCGAACGGACAAACCAAACACTTGCTCTAGATGGGGCCATTTGCATTTTTGTGTTTTGGCATCCTAGTTATCAGCCTCTCCATGACAAGAGCAGTGAAAAACACATTTTCTTAACGTGAAACTGCTTTATTCTGTGATTTTACCTGTTTAAATCACCAGGGGTCTCATTTATAAACATCATATACGCACAAAATGAGGCATGAAAGAGGCGTACGGCACTTCCTACGCAAAAGTTTTGATCAATAAAAACAGATTTGATGAAAGAAACTCTGACCCATGCCTCCAAATATTTTGGAGATGGGACACTGACAACGCAGATGGTGAGGTAGAAGCCTGACTGTAGAAATTGTTGAACCTTTTTTGGCACAAGCTTTTTTTGGCTTTTGGCCGTATGTACATTTTTAGTATGGATCCTACACTTTGTTTGATAAATGAGACCCCTGGGTCGCTTATTTTGGAGAGAAAGAAACCTCTGTGGATAATTCAGCTCCCAGTAAAAACCTCCTGAACAATGAACACTGAGGGAATTCTAACCAGGATAAGTTTCAGCTGGTTGCAGTCTACAATCCTCACCACTAGATGCCACTAAATCCCCCTAAATTTTACACACTGGACCTTTAATGCATTGTCTCGTTATTGTAAAGGACTTTTTTTTAAAAATTCATTTTTAATGTGATTCCTGATTAACAGCCATGGAGACCCAGAGTGTCATCATGGACATGGACGTCTTCCAAACCCGACTGGCAGTCATGTTACAGTGAGTGAGACACAGTCCATACTGACTTGATTACAACATTGCATACTGTACGTCACTTTATAATAATAATAATAATAATAACAATAATAATTATAATTATAATAATAATATATCTCTGTGTTTTTAGGGACATGTTTGGGGAGGAATGTGTGGATTTCAGTGATGGTAAAAGCATCTCTGTGACCGTAGATGGAAAGACGGTTCTCATCTGCTTGGAAACAAGGGTGAGAAGCGTTTCTCTTGGTTTCTTTGGTGTGAGATTGTTGTTTTTTTCATCTCTCATTGACGTCCTCTCCCCTGATTAGTCGGTGTGCTACGAGGATGAATGCACAGAAGACGACTCTCTGAGGGAGATGGTGGAGCTGGCAGTGCAGCGGCTCTACGACGCCCTCAACCCAGTTATCTGAGAGCAGAGACGGGACTGCAGACGTGTTCATGGCCAGTCATCTATAAACTACTGAAAGACAGTTTCTTAAGCTAAGTCACCACAGATATAAAACGAAGAATACTTCATCAAATTCAGTGTTGAAAGTTAACAAGCAGCTTGTATTAGTGTGCTAAAACTGGATAAAGTGTTCTCAAGAATCAGTGATACATGTACACTACCAGGATCTACAGTGTTTTAGTTTGTTTTAGCCCTAATACAGTTCACAAAATCAATCAGCACATCAGTATGCACTCACACTTTTACTAACTGTACATTAATGAACGTTCATGACCTGTGACCATGAAGCTACCATGTGAAAGAAGGGAATTAAATAAGCTGTGTAAGTTGGGTTTGTTTTCATAGATTTTAGTGTTCAGTGTTATGTCAGCACTTTTAATTATATTTAATAAGTTAACTGTATTTGTGTAGATGCACTGTAGGGTTTGTTTGACCTGAGTTTCTTAATGAGCACTCATATGACAGATTTGTTTACTTGTAAATGTGATGTGTTGTCAACTTCTAAATGCACTTATGTTCATTGTACCATGTTTAAAACAGACTTTTACAAAACTCATCAGTGTTTGTGTTGTTGACTTACAACGTTGCCCACAAAAGACTCAAGCAACATTTGTTTCACTGTGCTCTGACAGGCACTGCTCATAGCTCATTTATTTCTTAAATATCCGAACAATGTAGCTCGAGATTTTTACAATAAATATCCTCCAAGGCACATTTTAATGAGCATACATCTACAGTTCCTATAATGCCCCTGTTTAGTGGGCTACCAGTGATCCACACATCCCTTACTTCAATACATTGCCATAGGTTATTTTCTATAAATAGCAACACATGAAACCATAATCGAAACTTGCTTTACCTTTAATAAAAGAAATCTGAAAGACAGATGACTTCATAAAAGCTAAAGTTGAACCATGACACTACCAGGTTGTAAATCAACCAGTGAACTGTGGACTACATTTAAAGGTATGCCATGCAGGATTGTCGTCGCTGTGTGTAAACACGCTCACCAACTACAGATTCACTCTTGTTTTGCATTTCACCTCACTATATTTGTGCGCCTGGTGTCCAACTTTTTTTTATAAAGCCCTGACCTCACCTGAGGGCTGTGGGGGCACACACCAATGAACCCTGCGAACACAGAGAATCAGAAAATACAGGCAGAGGGCAGAGTCTCTGCAGATAAATACACCTCTACACACTTCTAGTGACTCATAAAAGATTGAGAGGGATAACTTCTGTATGAGTCTATACATTTTTTTTAGGAAAATCCTGCATTGTATACCTTTAAAGACAACATTAGTGGCACAGTGGGGAATTGATTACAGGTGGGCAGAGCTGGGTGCTGGACCTCAATACTCTAGACTGATGACTGTATTTTGGCGTTTTGACCAAAAGTTTTGAATGCCTGGTCCAATTCATAATGTTGTTACTGATTTAGATAACAATCTTTTCATTTCATTTTGACTGGTATGCCTGCTTGTGTTTAGATGACATTTAACATTTGAGAAGTTTGGCTTCTTTTGATTTAAAAGGGAAAAAAACAGCAGCCTCAAATTAAATGATTAAGAGAAAAAGAGGAGATGATTTACTGAAAGTACTGAAAATGTCAGTACTATGGTAAATGTACCTGAACTTGTATCTTTCGACTACTCAAAGCGCTTTTTACACTAAGAGTCACATTCACTCAGTCACGCACACGTTCACACCCGGGTGGCCGAGGCTACCACACAAGGTGCCACCTGCTACTCAGTTTTTAACACACCCACACAGCGATGGAACAGCCATCAGGAGCTATTTAAGGTTCAGTATCTTGCTCAAGGAGGAGCCGAGGATCAAATCTACTCTACCTCTGACTTGTGTGTGACTGACAAACTGAGTGACAATATTTACACCAGGAAAAAAAAGACAACTGTGTTCACAGACAGAATGAGAGGTATACAGTACTGTGCAGACTTGCAGACTGAGGAACAGAAACATATGTACCAGGATGTCTACAGGTATCAGACATTTAAATTTAATGTTTTTAAAAGCCTTTTAAAATCATTTTAAACCAAATTTAAGACTATTTTTTGACTAATTGTCTTCATTCTTATTCAAGCACTGCAGGTAAGCGTAAAGGTAAGTTGTATATATGTGGTCAGGTGTAGAGGTAGGTTTTATGCAGGAGTATGGTTATTAGGGGGAGTTAGGTTAATCTACACTTTGCCGACAGGTGAGTTCAAGTCAGAAATGTGGACTTTGACACAGAAGAGCTTGACTCCTGTTGACAAAAATACATTTTAAGATGGGTGAATTGAACTGGATAAAATCTTGGTGGCAATTGAGACCTCAGACATTAAAATCCAAGCATACTAAATGAAATGTAAGGCCTAAACTTGAATTCAAGACTTGTTAAGAACCTGCAGACACCCTGAGTACATTAGTTTAGTCTTTGATTTGCAGCTCTTCATAGGAGTGTGACCCCATTTTAATTGCACAATTGCACCATGTCACACTGACCCAAAGGATGATGTTAAGTCATCCATACTGTACAATAATTCATTATTTTTAATTGTTTGTGTGTCCCTACATAGAGAGGTCAGAGGACAGGGCCAAAACAAATGGCATTCAACGGCTGCCACGTGAATACTGTTGTTTTTTGTAGTGTGATTCAAGTGTCCTCCATCACCTCCATGTGAGTGAACTTCACCCGCTCTTTAAGCTGAGCAGTATCCCAACGGCCATCGCCAGCAGCAGAGCAACTCCCACTTCCGTCATCCCCCCGGCCTCCCGGTCCTCAAACCTCTCCTGCTTCTTCCTCAGCATCTCCTCTTTGCGGGCTGTGATGTCTCTCTGTTTCTGCAGCTGCTCGCTGTAGTGGGCTTTGACGAACTTGTCGAAATCAAAGATGCCTCCTCGGCTGTCGGTGCCCATCACAGACCGCCGGCTCTCGGTGTGCTGTCTCGCGGGGCTCCCTGTGTCTTTGGCGGAGGGTCTGGCTGTTGTGATGAGGTCTGACTGACTCAGCAGACCTCGGTCGTATTTCTTCCTCAGCGTCTTGTTGCCCAGCACGGTGTAGGCCTCACTGATCTCAGAGAAGCGGACAGTGGCGTCCTCACTGCCGGCGTTTCTGTCCGGGTGGTAGATGAAGGACTGCTTGTAGTAGGCGGTTTTAATCTGGGCTTGGGTGGCGGTAGAAGTCACCTCCAGGATTTCATAGTAGCCTGTTCTGGTTTTGTACAGAGGCTCAGATCGGGCCCCGTTGTCGCTGTAAGCTCTGGTAAACTGCCCATGTCCCCAACACAAAGCGAGGCTCTCCTGTCGACGAACGGACCGGAAACTGGAGAAAACCCTCCGAAACTTCCCATTAGTCCGGTACCGAGGGAAAATAGCTTCTACACTTTGTACTTGTGACTTACTAGAAACGGAATCATCTTTGTTGAGTCCGGAATAATAGTAATATCCAGCGACATTTTGGTTTTCAAAAGCGTCGTTGACATTACCAAACAGTGGTGTTACCCTTGTGTAACTGTCTCGTGAAGCTCCAACGGTCACCCTGTCCGCTGCTTTTTCGGCTCCGTACACATCTCTGTTGTTGACACCACCCAACAGGAAGCCTGCCGACAGAGATGAGGCTCGTATTGCACCTTTACCCAGCTTAATTTCACTTTCCAGGAGTTGCCGGTTACATATTTTGTGTGCAAAGATGGATGCTCCCCTTCCAAAACGTAGCCTGACCTCCGCCATGTTTGAAGGGGATAGAAGAAGAATGTTGACTTCCGGTATGATGATGGAAGCTCGTCTGACTGCAGCGCCCCCCGGCGGGGTGTAAAGGTAAACTCAAACATTACATTGCACAGCAGATTTCAATCTTTATAAAGGTCCTATCAGTAATTCATATTTTTCCCCCAATAACATCTTTGTAATGAAACCTAGCTGCTTAAATTTAATATTAAAAATTTGTCATTAAATAGGACACACCTCTTTATATCTGATTTTTAGTACTTCTTCTATTTTCTATTTATATTTTATTATGGAAAATTCATGTTTTTCTCAATAACTTCCATGTAATATGCAAGGAAAGCATAAAATAATATACAATTTAATATCTTCCTTTGTAATGTGACCCAGTGACTCAAATGTAATAGCAAAATGTGTTTTTACATAGGACACACCAGCCACATCTCTTCATAATGTGATTTTAGTGCTTTTTCTATTATTATGTTTATGGAAAATGTATTTTTTTTTTAAAGAAAAAAAAAACAACTTCTATGTAATGTGACGCAGTGACTCAGATATAATACCAAAATGTGTCACTACTTAGGACACACAGGACTCACTTCTTCATATGTGATGTTAGTGCTTTTACTATATTTAATTATTATTTTTATATATTCTGTTATTGCTATTAAGTATTTATCCATGTAATGAAATGCAGCTACTTAAATATGACACTAAAATTTTTCACTACATGGGGCACACATCACGCGCCTCTTCATTTATTATTTTAGTGGGGTTTTTTTCTATTTTATATTAATATTTTATGTAAAATTCTAAAGTTTTTTCTCAACAATTTCCAGTGACTCAAATATGATACCAAAATGTATCACCACATAGACCACACAGGACTTCAGGACTTAACATGAGATTTTAGTACTTTTTATATTTCCCTTTTTTTTAATTATTTTTGTGGAACATTTATTGATTTATTTCTTAATATCATTCCTGTCATGAAACCTGGCTACTTCATCTGTATACAGAACATTTTCACCCTGTAGGACACACCTTATTATGTCTGATTTTTAATGTTCTTTCTATTTTTTTATGAGTATTTCTTATGGAAAATTCACGTTTTACTCAAAAACGTCCATGTAATGTGGCTCAGTGACTCAAATGAAACACCAAAATGTGTCACTACTACACACAGGATACACCACTTCATATGTGATTTTAGTGCATTTCTATTTTCTATTATTTTTATGATTCCCTCACCCCCAATAACATTCATGTAATGAAATACAGCTACTTTAATTTAATACTCAAATTTTCACTACATGGGTCACACAGGATGCACCTCTTCGTTTGTTATTTTAGTGTTTTTTCTGTTTTATATTAATATTTCATGTAAAATTCATACATTTTTTTTTCTTATTAACTATATAATGTGATCCAGTGACTCAAATGTAATACCAAAATGTATCACTACATAGGATCCATAGGACACACCTCTTTATATATGATTTTAGGGTTTTTTCTATCCCAATAACATCCATGTAATGAAACGCAGCTACTTTAATTTAATATGAGAAAAATTTTCACTACATAGGACTCACAAAACACATTTCTTCATATGGGATTTTAGTGCTTTTGCTATTGTTCATTAATATTTAATGTTTTTTTTTTTCTCTGTAGACTTTTATTGTGAAGTACGGTAATAACGTCACAACATCCGCCTATGACCCGCTTCCCTAACCGGAATAGTAGTTTCTGCAACTCGTTTCACTATGTCTAAGTTCAAAACAGTAATTTGGCCTAAAGTGATTTTATTCGGGGACTCCATTACACAGGTTAGCT